AGGTAAAGTGTGTTTGGTGAGGTCGGTGTTATCAGTAATACCTGCCTACACAATGCAAAATGTTTGTTACCCAAGGCTGTTTACAATTGTATGGAGTAGGTGATGAGGGGTTTATTTGGGCAGACAGTTTGGATAAGAGAGGTTGGCATCTTGTTAATTGTGATCAACTAACTACACCTAGGGGGAGTAGAGGTTTGGGTCTTAGGAGGATGAGGTTGTTGAATGTAGCCATGCTAGGTCAGTTAGTATGGACTATGATGACTGACCCGGGTAAACTTTGAGTCCAAGTCATGTGTTTGGAAGAATCTTCTTTTTGCTAAGGATGCTTTGGAAAAGGCGTTTGGTTACTTAGTGGGAAATGGAGAAGCCTCAGTTTGGTTTGACACATTGACAAAGGCGAGGAAATTATGCCATATGGTCCCATATGTTCATATTAAAGATACTAACCTAAAACTGAAAGAAAGCGTGCAACAGGAGACTTGAAACTTACTTGGCCTTACTTCTCTTATCAATGACTAGATTTAGGCTTTCTTCATAGAGATAGTCCTGCATATTTCTTTGGGTGTGAAGGAGTGTTGGTATTGGAAAGTTGCTGCTTTAGAAAGCTATTCGGTAGCTAAAGGGTATGGGTCGTTGTTGGATGCATCATCCAAAGTGGGAACTGAGATGTGTTGGGGCTAGGTATAGTGTCTTTATGCTCTTAAGAAGGTTCATTTTCTAACTTGGTTGATTATGCTCCATTCTCTGCCGATTAATGCCTATAGGTAGCGTTGTAACTTGACTGATAATGCTAGTTGTAATTGTTGCTCGGGATGTGTTAAAAACATCATGCATGTCTTTAATTATTGTCCTCATTTGTTGGAGGTTTGGCACAAACTTGACATAGTTCATGTGCATGGGTTCGATAATGAGGATGTGTATGATTGGGTGTTTAAAATGGTGCGTTCAGAGAAAGCTTCCCTTTTTCTGGTAGCAGTTTGGTGGCTTTGGAGGTGGAGGAACAACACCTGTTTCAATAACAAGAAATGGAGTATTCGCTATGTGTTGAGTCAGTTTTTATAACTCATGATAAGTACATTCATTTTTTGGGTCTTGAAAGTGCCTATGGGTTATACTCCGATAGAATCAAGTGGATTGCCCCGCCAACAGATAAGGTGAAACTTAATGTAGATGGAAGTTTTGACCCTAGTGCTGATCTTATAGGTATAGGTGGTATTTTGAGGGATCATTAGAGTCACTAGCTTGGTTTATTCTTAGCAACTAATGGGAATGATAATGCTACATGAGCAGGGCTTCTGGCCATGTGTCATGGTCTCCAATTTGCTTGGCGTCTTAGAGTATGAAATTTAATTCTTGAATCAGATTCTTTAGAGGCGGTCAATGAGGCATTGAATGCAACCTCTAATTCTTTTGCTGTTCATGGCAACTTGATTAAGGACATTAGAGATTTAGATCATGATGAATTGAAGTGTGAATAATGTTTACATGAATCGTGAGTGTAATAGCATAGCTGACGGGTTGGCTAGATTGGGTAGAGTCTAAGATATTGATTGGGTTCATCAGAGTATATCTCTGACATTTGTACAAACTTAAACTTTGTTCCTTTTAGAGTGAGTTGCTTTTTGTTTTTCCCTTTTACTTTCTCTAACACCAAAAAACAATTGAAATGTGTGAAAAAATATACATTTAAATTAATATTTTTCTTCTAACGAGTCAACGGGAAGCTTTTAGTGCTAAATCCCTTCTTAGCGGGATAAGATAAGATAATAGACTTTAGTGTAATGTCTTTAAAGTAGGATGATAATTTCATTCCACACTTGGTCTTATAATATAATTCATGAATGATAATTGAGATTTTTGAGTTATTCATTGAGAGAATTCATTATTCAGTCCATTTTGTTCATATTTCAGGAAAGAAAAGGATCAAGAAATGAAAGCTTTAAATGATAGTGAGAATTGAAGCAAAAATCAGAACCAGAGATATACATGAGCAAGTACACGCCTGTGTACATGAGCGTGTATATCACTGGTTGCATAAATCAAGCACACAATCAAGTCAGAGATATACACAAGCAAGTACACGCTCGTGTATATGGGCATATATCTAACTGGTCGTGTCAATTGAAGTGCATCATCAAAACCAGAGATGCACACGGCCAAAGTACATGGCCGTGTACATGGCCGTGTACTTTTAACGTGCGTCAGAATTTGAACTTCTGCGAAAAGATTAACCCTGGGACCACTTATATAAAAGGAAACTTGGCACAGAAACCTGGGGAACGGTTTTTGGGAAAGACAGAGTCAGTGATGGCTGGAGAATGGAACCAAGCTCTTTAATTTCTCTTTTGTAATTGTAGTTTTGGGATGTTTAGGTTCTAATTTTTCTTAGAGTATCTAGACGCAATGAATCTTAATTGACCAAACCTTCTGGAATTCTTCTTAATGTTATTTCATGTTCTTTTCTCTTGAGTTTAATTGAGTAGTATTAATTGTCTCCTATCTTATTTTTTTTTGTTTGATTTTAAGTAAAAATCCTGTATGAATTTATCATTGCTCAATTAAAAGGACTTAAATGTATTTCTAGAGATAGAAAGGCATGAGTTTTCTGTATTAGGAATAACTCTAATTATAGAATTCATAATGAACTTAATGCAACCTAGGGGAACTAATTAAGGAAGAGATTATGATTAATCAACCGAAGGTTAGGAACCATTATCTTTGAGATAGGTATTGGTTTATTTCAGGAATTCCTGCAACAACAAGGGGCTAAAACTAAGTAATTGAAGGAGAATTCTAGTTATTTGGATAATTAAGAGGATTTACAACCTAGATACTCACTTATTTCTCTTGAATACATTTAATCATACTTTTTTAGGCTTTATTATCATATAAATCTATTTCTTTTAAATTATTATTTTCTTAGTTCAGCAAATTTATCAAAATAATTTCTTACCAATATTCATTAATAATTAGGCAATCAAAGAAGTAATTTTTTGTAACAGTTCATGTGGATATGACACATGGTACTCCAATTTTCGTAATATTACTCTGACAATGGGTGCACTTACCAAGTAATTGATTTTTACACACCATAGGACAATATATATAAAATTAATTTAAAAAATATTTGAGAGTATAATAAGGATTCATTTTATAAACATCATAAAAAAGTTGGAGATATATCATATTCTAATATAAATTTCATCCTATATATAAAGGACCCAAATTAAATTCACCATAGTAAAATTAATATAATTTATTTATTTTATCATATAAATATAATTAAAAATATTTTTGTCTTATTTATATTTTATTTAATTTTTATATATTATTTTTATTTTATCATGTATATATTAAATAAATTTTATCACTGAATACGTATATCATTGATAAAAATCATTTAATAATAAAATTTGTTTAATATACATGTAATCCAAAAAATATCCTAAATAGAAAAGACATTAGGCATAGGTGTAGCCCAAAAGATATCTGTCTATTGGATGGGCGAAGGAGTCGCACAAACCGCCCTAACCCATGGAGGATAAAATAACAGCATAATGGTGTACGTCATTTGGACATGTGTATTAAACTAATAATTAACTATAATTGCAGTCATCCTTATTTATATTAGAAGCTTTAAATTATAAAATTAGGTGATGAAAGTTAAAAACAGAAGTTGTCACGAGGTAGAGAAATATCTTCGCGGAATAATGGACAGCCGTCCTCCCTCCACACCGCTAAACGATTCCTAGCCATACAAATTTTTAAATATATCCCATTCCTTATTGCAGAGACTATTTTATTGCTGATAATGATGCTCATCAATGCCGTTTTTAAATCTGACTTTGAGGTGGAGATTTGTATTCTTTCCTAACCTTCTATCTTTTACTTTTAAAAGGATTTTCTCCTTTGCAATAAGTCCGAGGAGTTAGTTTGAGTATTGATTAAAATTGATAATATATATATATATATATACTCGGACTTAGTTTGAGTATTGATTAAAATTGATAATATATATATATATATATATATATATATATATATATTCATTTAATTTATAATTATTTCAAAAATATTTTAATTAAAACTTCTTGTTATTTATATTTTTTTAATCATACTTTCACATTTAATAAATTTAACATAAACTTTTAATTAATTATGAGTTATTGTTAATTAAAGTAAGCTAATGATAATCCTCTCATGTCTCATATATTCATGTCATATTTTTTGTGAAGTTAATTTATTAGCCGATTAAAATAGTTCATTTCACTGAAAATTTCTTTTATCCTTGTAATAATTCGTCGGATGTAATTTTTAGAGTTTTAATTTTAAATAATTTAGATATTTATAGATTTCTTTTATTTTCGTCTTTAGTAAAAAAAAAACCAAGTGAACAGATGTCTTAACATCCCATTAAATGTAAATATGTGGAAAAACTTATGTTTAATACAACGTATTTTTATTTTTATCAAAGTAAGTTGCGTACAACATTTTCATCTAAAAGGAAATTAGTAACAACTTTTTGTGATTTATATATATCATGTATAAAGACACTCTTCAAGGATTCAAATAAGTTAGCCATATAATTTACAAACTGGGCATAAAGTGTTATATAGCATTTGAAATTTTAATAATACAAATTTTCCGTATTAATTTACAAGTTTTGATTAATTGAGAACACTAACAATCGTGGATTATCGTTTCTACTCTTGAGAAGTAATAAATTATATTATTATTAGGAGTAACATCATTTTATATTAGTCTTATATTTAATTTAAATCTAATGAGTTATAATTTATTATTTTATTAATTATTAAATTTAAATTAAATAAAAAAATTAAATTAATTAAATATAAAAAAATTTAGATTTAGTGTAAAAATTATTATTATTATTATTAAAATCCGTCCTATATATACAGGAGGAAAAGGAAGAGGATATATGGTCCTTCCCCGAGTTGGGTAGAAAATAATTGTGGGTACGCGTGCTTGGGGCCGTTGACTTGCCTCGGCAGTTGTAATTGAAAGCTAGCTAGGTTAAGCAATGACAAAGGTATACCCAAACACAGCCGATGAATCTGTGTCGATAGACGGCAACAGGGATGCAGTGGCAGTGGTGTTGACAGTGTGGAAGAAGTCTTTGTTGCTAAACTGCAATGGATTCACGGTTTTGGATGGGCAAGGGAATCTGGTATTTAGGGTAGATAACTACATTGCAGGAAATAAGGATGAGATACTTCTTATGGACGCTGCAGGCACACCCCTCCTCACCATCCGCCGCAAGGTGCCTTCTTTTCTTAATTACTTAAATGATTTCATTCGTCTTATGCAGTTGATTCAGTTAAACTAATATTTAAGGAGAAAAATGAAATGAATCAGAGGCTAAGTCTGGGAGACACCTGGCTCATCTTTGAAGGAGAGGACTCTGTCAAACTCCTTTTTACAGCAAGAAAGCATGTCAACAACAAGTGTTTGGCACACCTCCTCCGCTCAGCAAATGAAGACGCTTCATGGAGGAGCAAAATTGGCAATAAGAAAAAGGAAATCGCATATGAGATTGAGGGCTCATACATGCAACGTTGCTGCACGTTTTATGACAATAATAGGAGAAAAGTTGCAGAGATCAAGAGGAAGGAAGCTGTGTCAGGAGGGGTAGCTTTTGGTGCAGACATCTTCCGTCTCATCGTACAGCCTCACATGGACCCCACTCTAGCCATGGCTTTTGTCATCCTCCTCGATCACATGTTCGGATCTCGTTCACTAATACGTCCTCATCCTCATCCTCATCACCATCACCTTTTCAACTTCTGTCATCATTTCCTCAACAATTTTATAGGTTAAATGCCTGCAACAGCTACCGCTCTCCCTATGTTCCCTTCACTGTATACAACGTATAATTGTATTTCCAATTCTATTGTCATCCTTCACTCCAGCTTGGTTTTTTCATTTTATATAAAATCCCAAGCTCCAAGTCAGGATGTAAATACAAGCATACCATAATTATCTTCAAATATAGAAAGAGTTATATTATATTTTATCGTCATTATATTTTCCCATATATTTCAAATATGTGACATTTTGATCTTTTAGTTTTAATTGCTCTCTAATTTGATAATCGTTTAAATTAAGTTCTCTATACCAAAAATTTATCCGGTAATTAATTAAAATAAAAGTGTGATATATTATTGTTTTATATAAAATCGTGATTCCGTGAATCCATAACTCAATGATTAATTACATATTTATTATATTTTTGCTAATTATTAAATAAATTTTAAAATAAAAACTTAATTTGGACAATTAAAAAACTAAAAAAATAAATGAGAAATCAAAAATAAAAATATAAAAATCACACATTATATATATATATATATGATTCATTCATTATACGTCATATTACTGTTTGTCCCGTTACTGACCGAGCTATAAGTCCTTTGACCGTTTTGATCAAAGTGGGGTTGGTGATCATAGCAATTTTTGTTTAATAAATCGACCTAACAAATGAAATTAACGTCAAATTAAATAACCTGGACATGAGCGAATATGCCGGATATTCTTTTCCTTATATTCCAATTTCCAGTTCTTTCAACGCCACTCCCTTGACCTTTTCTTTTCTTTTTTTATATCTTCCTTGACTTTTAATCTAACACTTCTGATACGTTTGGATTAATATTTGAATAAATATGAATTATATTTATTTTAACATCATTAATTATAATTATGGTATGACATTTATATTTATCATATTTTAATATATTTTAAAAGTAACTTACACTAATCGTTACCAATGATAAAAATAAATTTTTAGAATCCGACGTTAATTTGTGATTTAGTTTATATTTAAGGCTTTAATACAATATTAAAAAATTGGTTCCTTGAATTTTTTTCACTCAAATTAATTTCTAATTAATCATATATCAATATTTATATTATAAATAAGAGTTTATTACATAAGAAGTGAAACATTAGAGAAACTACTTTTTTTTATACTTTGTCATATGAACATTTTAATATTGAAATGATTTGAGAATTATAAATAAATTAAACTTTTTTCTATTATAATAATTTTACTTTTTACTAACACTTTTATAATTTATTTCTAAATTTTAAAAATTAAAATTGTAACTTAATTTTTTATTATTCTATATAAATTTTAATATTTTTTTGTGAATATCTATTTTTTATTTATAAAAATTTTCTTAATTTTTTTTATTTCTTAAATTTAGAGTTATTTTTTAGAGCTTTATCTTTTAAAATTCTGGTTATTAATATATATTATTTTTTATATTTAATTAAAAATTTAACACTATATAATGAAAATATTATTTTAAAATTATTTTAAAAAAAAATTTTGCTTAAGAACGGGACTCAACCACAAAACAAAGTAACACCTAGACTAAGGATCTAGAACAGAAAGATCCCAGAGAATCCAGTCTTAACAAAGAATTTAAAGATGCGGGAGCAGAATCAAACCTACAAGACAACTCTACCTCCTCATGCTCACATTTGGCTAACTAATCAGCACATTGGTTAACTTTTCGTAAAACATGATTAAACCTAACAAATTTAATTTTCCTAAGTAACAATCTAATCTCACTAATTACAAGATACAAAGGATACTAACAACTTTGAAGGTTAACAATCAAAAAAATAACTTCTTTGGAGTCACATTTAACCCAAATAATATTAATATTTTTAGAAATAACAAGTTCAAGTCCTTTAAGAATTCCCCAAGCTCAGCACAAGTAGGAGTAAAAGGAGTAAGAGGATGGTAGAACCCAGCTACAAATGTGCCATTATGATCACGAATAAGTCCCCCATAACTCGTCATTCCGGTCAGACTTTAACTTAAATTGCCTATTCAGAGGAGGCTGCCAACAGACTAAACTTTAAGGCTCCTTACAGCCATTCATAAAATTATGGGTGCCCCTGCCATAAGCTTGAAGGAAACCAAATTTAGATATAATTTTATATAATAAAGCATTAGAATTCAATGGAGAGTTATTAAAAATAACACAATTTCTATTTCTCCAAAGATTCCAAATAATTATGCCAAATAATTTACTCTAAAAAGGATACAAAGGAAAATTATGCTTAGACAAATTAAAAATAATCCAATTAGAAAGACCAAGGCTGAAAAATGAAGACCATTTATCATAAGGAATAAAATGACCCCAGATTTGACTAGTAATCCAATAGTCCCTAAGGACCTGAACAATAGATTTAGGAGCCTCATTGCATCTAGTGCAAATTTGGGAATTATCCATCTTACGATAAAAACATTCAAGATTAGTTAAAAGTTTTTCATTAGCTATTTTCCACAAAAAAACATTGATTTTAGGAGGACCCTCCCAATCCCAAACAAGTTTAAAAATATGATTATTTGGCTGGTTGGACTGTTGAATTTCAAAAATAAGATTGTAAGCAGACTTTATAGAAAAAAGTCATTATTTGTGCATTTCCAGAACACTTGATCCTGATCACTAGTAATTGCTGGGGGATTAATTTAAGCAATTAGGTTACAAAATTATTCAGGAAGAAAAGGCCGAATCCTATCCCAATCCTACCCATGCTGAGAGGAAAAAAGGGTAAATGGACTGTCTAACTCAACACTAGGGATGAGATGATGAGCAACAGTAGATAGACTATGCTGCAAGGACACCCAATCATCCTTCCAAAATCTTACAAACATACCATTTCTTAAAATCCAACCCAAGCCTTTGCTAAACACCTCCCACACACCCACCATCCCCTTCTACAAGGGGGGACTCTTTCCGACAAACAATAATTATAAGATCTTTACCAATAGAAAACTTGTATTTACTACAGATAACCTGGGACCAAAGTTCATTAGGGGAAGAAATAAGTCTCCACCAAAGTTTCATTATGAAAGCTTGATTAACCGTGTTTAGATTTCTAAACCCAAGACCACCCTCACTCTTAAGTTTACAGATTTTTTTCCAAGCAATTAAATGACACTTCCTACTATTCAGAGAACCCTAGATAAATTTTTTACAAATAGAGTCAATTTCCTTACAAATAGTTTTAGGGATCAAAACAAACTGCATAAAATAATTTGAAATATTCATAATACAAGATTAAGCCAAGGTAATTCGACCAGCCATAGATAGAGAATTCATTTTTCAAACAGACAATTTTTTTTTCTAATTTTATCAATTATAAAAGCAAAATCATGCTAAGAGGGTTTAAGGGGACTGATAGGAATGCCTAAATATTTACCAAATTTTGCAGGATTATTAAAATCTAAACTAACACTAATCACGGAAACAGATTTTCAGTCAAATTCAATTTTAGGTTTTTCTTTTAAAAAAATACAAATAAAGTTTTTGAGATTTTAAAAATTACAAATTAATCAAATTAAATTACAGACAAAATTAAAGTGAGTAAAAATGAATTAAGAAATATCAATCCAAAAAATACTAATTGTGTGTAACTTTGGTTATCACAGTATCTAAAGATTTAAATTCATATTTGAACAATCACTCAATTCAATTATTAATTCAATCTAATAACCTAATTGAATAGAGTTACGAATTAAATCAAATAATCATTTAACTTAATCCGCATTAATTATCAAATCAGAGCATCAATCGAGTCATAATTTAAATTCTAACAACAGAAAAGTCAATTACGATCGCAATACACAATTCTGATATTAGAGAGAAAAGAAAACAAACTCGAAGCAATTTAGCGCAAAACTCAAGTTAGAATTACGGTATTTGGATTTTGCAGATTGAACAAGAGGTTTATCCTTTTATCGAAACGCTTAACTCACGCAAGAATGAAAAAAGAATAAGAGAGTTCGAGAGAAAATAAAAATAAGGATTCTTATTTCGGCCAAGTCTCAAAATCTCAAAGTGTCTAATCACATCATACCCTAATTTAGAACTTTATTTGTCTATTTATAGATTCTAATTAGGGTAAATTAAGTAGCCAAAATTTGAGCCTCAATAATATCTAAAAGTCCAAATACAATTATTAAATAACAACGGTATAAATGTAATTTCGCAAAAAAATTTAGCAAATCTGCCTCAGCTTCAAAAAATCATAAAAAATAAAAAACAATTCCAAATATAGTTATCCATATTTTGAAGCCTTGGATGTATAGAATCTAATGCGACCGGAATCAATCAAAAACGATATTTATAGAAAAAGTTATAGCTGAAATAGCAGTCAAAAGTAAGAATAACCAAAAATATGAAATTAAAACATTTATTTGTAATAGGCTCAATTTATTCAAATAAGTAAAAAATGATAAAAACTATAAAAATAAAGCATATGAAAGTATTTATTAATTAAAATAAAATTATAAATATAAATATAAAATATGTTACATCATGGAGCCACAAATTCTTAACTGTTATGATGATAATGAGCACAATTTTGTAAAGTTGTAAAAGTTAGTAATTTATTTACATTGAGTATTTAATTAAAATTTTAAAAATATTAGTTGTTAAATTAATTTTTTACTTAGATTATATTAATTTTTACTTAAATTAGCTTAATTTAGTTAGTTTAGTGATGGCCATAAATCTTGAACAATAACCATAACAATGTTCCACTATACTTGCGGTACAAATGCCTTATATCAAAAGAAATAAATGGCTTGGAACATTGAATGCCTCCATGCATTGAGAAAATGTCTAAACAAGCACGAGAATATTACATAATTATGATTAATATCATTACCGAGACATAGTATGGTTGCGTCAAAAGATGTGGTATAGTAATTGACATATAACATTTCAAGCCAATAAGACATCTCAGAAGCTCATTCTAGGAAGCTTCTCACTCACCATAAATCATGTTAATTTCCTTATGTTTCACATACCATACATTTGTATATTTTGTCTTGAATTTAATTTGCGACTTAACAGATCCTTCCAATACTTCAATAGATATTGTTGGATCAGATTGCACCACTGACAATTTGCTAGCACAAATAAAATCACTATTCAATTATAAATGACTATCAAGAACCAAATCAAATACGCATGTGTGGTCTATTATACTTTCAAACTTCCCATATCTACAATTTACTCCAATTGTATATGTTGCCAAACTTTACATTAACCATATTTTTTATATGATCTGAGTCATAAACTTTATAATTAGTTGATCTTGAGTATTGTAACTCTTTATTGCAAAAAAAACACAGCTACCTTACTCTTGAACAATTGTTTCACTTCCAACTATATTTTTGCTCATCACTTTTATCACTTTTATCATTGCTCTCATTTTGTATAGGCCCATCAAATTGCTCTTCTTCAACATCTTCTTTGTACTCAATAAAATTTGACAAATCAAAACTACCAATAAGGTCAACATCCAAAAGTTGAGGAAACTATGCAAAACTTGGATTTTCCATAATATTGCCAACATTTTCTCTTGGCCATTTACAATCACTTATGCCAACCTTATTCTTTGGGAGGAGGATGCCTCAAAAACTAATTCAATAGTATTAGAACCTCCAGAATTGAATTGACTTTCTCACAAAGTTACGAATATCTCCATTATGCAAATCTCTAGAGATTGGACTTGAAAATTAAACACCATTTGTCTATTGTTTGGTTGGCCTAACTGCTAGAATATGTTCCTTTACAATTACAAAATTTATAGTTAGACAAACAACAATGTAAATTAACCATTCACTATTGAAAGTAACTTCCTTTATAATATTTGTAACTATATCATTTTAATGAACAAATATATAACAACTTTCAGCCAAATATAAATATTTAACACTTTCTACAATTGAGAAAAATGAATTATAAGCAAATAAATTCTCAATAAATATATATAAGAGTGGTCAATAAGATGTAAAAAGTTTAGACAATTTAATTTATAAGATAGGTCGTATTAAAATAAAATAAATTATATTCTAAATTCTAAATTTCTAATAAGTAGAATTACATGCTTATTAGTCATACCACTTTACTTGTTTAAAAGTCACACTTTAAAAATTTTATGTATTAAATTTAAGTTACGTTATTATAGTTATTTAGACCTAATATAATTTATGTATAAATTATAAATAGTTATGCCCTACTACCATTTATATAATAATTACAATTTGGACATATTTTAAATTTTATGAAATGAGAAATTTTTAAAGGATTTTTTATTTTTAAATAAAAAAAGCCGGTTTTATCTTAGTACTAATTTTAGCGAAGGAAGCTGGGTGCCTCTTCTCCCTTCCATTCATTGGCAACTGTTAGATCCTCAGCTTCTCAACCATAGAAACTAGTCAATTTGATAAAAACAAAAATCTGCCTCGACACCCCCAAATATATCCTTAACATTCCGTTGTTTTTGGAATATATCTTTCCGGGAAATGCCATCCTTTTTGGCGACTGAGTTTGGGAAGAGAATCATAGAATACGAAGAGAAAACTTATTATTATCGAAAGAGATAAAATCAAATAAGAAGGAATTAGGGAATGGAAGGATTGGATGGGTTTATAGAGAGGCTTTTGGAAGCAAGGAAGAATAGGGGTAGACGAATTCAACTGACAGAGTCAGAAATTCGCACCCTTTGCACCACGGCAAAAGAAGTTTTCCTAAGACAGCCAAATCTGCTGGAATTGGAAGCCCCCATCAACGTTTGCGGTAATTGATATTGTTTTTTTAAGCTACCAAAGTAGTATTAGGCAATGATACTGCGGTAATTAACATGTATGATAATCTCATTATTCAGGCGACATACACGGCCAATATCCAGACCTATTGCGACTGTTTGAGTACGGTGGGTTTCCGCCGGATTCCAATTACCTCTTCCTTGGGGACTACGTGGACAGAGGAAAACAGAGTATAGAAACAATATGCCTCCTACTTGCATACAAGATCAAATTCCCAGAAAACTTTTTCCTTCTCCGAGGAAACCATGAATGTGCCTCTATTAACAGAATTTATGGCTTCTACGACGAATGCAAGCGAAGATTCAGCGTTCGGCTATGGAAGATGTTCACAGATTGCTTCAACTGTTTGCCCGTATCTGCAGTGATTGACGACAAAATTTTATGCATGCACGGAGGTCTTTCCCCTGAGATGGAGAGTTTGGATCAGATAAAGGCTATAGAGAGGCCAGTGGACGTGCCAGACCAAGGGCTCTTATGTGACTTGCTTTGGGCTGATCCTGACAAAGAAATCAGAGGATGGGGTGAGAATGATAGGGGTGTTTCCTACACTTTTGGCCCAGATAAGGTCGCCGAGTTCTTGAAGAAACACGATCTTGATCTTATATGCAGGGCTCATCAGGTTGTTGAAGATGGCTACCAATTCTTCGCAGACAGGCAGTTAGTTACAATTTTCTCAGCCCCAAACTATTGTGGAGAGTTCAATAATGCCGGTGCTCTCATGTGCGTCGATCCAACTTTACTCTGTTCATTTCAGATTCTCAAACCCTTCAAAGGAAGAACCACATAACTCCCACTCTTTTCAACCTATCTCCTCCCATTGCTCATTATCCATGTAAAGTACCTCCAGTTAGAATTTAGAAAAGAGGATATTCGTCCACAAAATTGTATATATCCCTATCAAGCCACTCTCTTGTTTCTTTTTCCTTTTCACAGCGCAATTAATTTTCTCTATATGTCACTCGGAACTTGGGACTATCATTGTTATTCTTATTATTTGGCAATGGGACTAACGCATTTTCTTTTCACATTGATTATGTAAGTAAAACTTCACGATCATCAAAACAATTATACATTAAAGTGGCATGTTTATTTCCTTAAGCTTAAAGCAGACAACCTAGATGTACCACTAAAGAAAAGGAAAAAAATGGAAAAACAGACAACCTATCTGTCTATAATCGATAAGCATTAAATATTTGTTGATGGATCCTTGTTTCTCTATTCCTTCATATAAAAAATAAAAAATCAGAAGAAATAACGATGGATCGTTTATATAATCTAAAGCGTAAAGCTCGTGCACAAACTAAATGCATTTCATCGTCCAAGCGATCAATCCCTTAACCAAGAATTAAGAAAAAAGAATTGCCTAAAAAGGACTGCGGTTGAGGAGATGTATATAATAAGGACATATTTGTCGTTAAATTAAATTAGTTAAATTTAAGAGATATTTTAATTTAAATTAGCAGTAATATATATAGTGTTTGTTATAATATCTGTAAACTTGAGAAACTATTTGTACCTCTTTAAATTAATGGATGTCACGGTGAATTTTACTGATATAAATTTAGTTTCTTATTATATATATATATATATATATATATATATATATATATAATATTTATTTTACAAATTCTATTAAAAGCTTTTATTTATCATAAATTATAGTAATTTTTAACAAAAAATTATATTGCAAAACATGAATATTAAGAGTACGTTTGTTTTGATTTTTAAAAAGAGTTTTTAAAAAAATTAAAAAAAACTCTTTTTAAAAATCAAAACAAACATACTCTAAGTTTTTATATGTCAATAGCTGGAAAAAAAAACCTCTTTGTTTCTTGCATAAAGTTTTGAAAATATTTTTTTTTTTAAGTACTCAGCAACGTATCAAATAAGTTGTAAGAATGTGAAAATAAATTTTAACTACTAAATTTTATCATGAATAATTAAAATTAAATTATATAAATTATGTGAGTTTTTAAAAATATTACATGAATTTTTAAAGTAATTATGTGACTTTAAAAACTTTTAATTGTAACCTTTTATCTATAAAATAAAAACAAATTATAATTATAGCTGCGAGTAATCTTTGCTTATTATATACAACTTGACATCTTAAAAAATCTGAAGTAAAAAAAAAGCATTAATATTTTAATAAAATTCAAGGGAAAAAAAAAAACAACACCGAAGTTGGTGTTATTTTTGAATTTTGAATGGAGTGAGTATCCCGTTAATCTAAACTTTTCTGTTTTAAATTTTTTTTAAAAATCACGAATCAAGGACAAATCAGCTAATTAAATCTTTACTTACAAATGTTAAACTTAAAACATTTTTCAACTCTATATTGGTTAAGGAAATGACCATTAAGGTACCAAAAAATTATTGTCTGTTTCACATTAAAAAACAATATTTTTTTAGTTGTGATTTATAAAAATTCAACTAATTGTTAAATTGATGAAACTATCGGTTCGTATACCGGTTTAATCATGATAAAGTATAATTAAATCAATAATAATTTAATTATATTATATATTAAATTAGACCAAATATATTTAAAAAAGTAAATAATATTCAAATGTTGTAACAAAGTGATATAGGAGAGATGGGCGTACTCTTCAATGACAACTAAAAAGGTCTTTAACAAGTGTATTTCAATGTAATTTCAATAAATAACCAATTATGTTATGATATCTTATTTAGATATTTTGTTTATAATTTTTTTTTATTTTCAATTCAGTTCCTCTAATGAATAAATTTTGCAAACGTACACCTTAGTAGTGATGTTTATGTTAAAAGTTAACAGTATTGTTTATTTTAAAAGCTATTGTTTCATGAATATAAACCTGAGAGTGTTTAACATCCGTCCACGGTCCCTCGTACTAAGCTTTGCGGAAATATCCACCTCTTTCATTGTCTAATTGGATATCTAATCTCAATCCTTCATACTAAACAGGCTACACTTAGCTTAGCACATCCAATATCTGATTCAAAAAGAGCTTGGATTGCTACCTTTCCTCTCTGCGTATGTAGTAAGAAGGATCATTTCTTTGTGCTTATTCTGAAAATGAATATTTTTTTATTTGAAAAATTTGTTTCCCTTTTTTAAGTTTAGAGTTTTCAATAAATAAATTTTGAAATATTTATTTCTGAAAATAATAAATAAATTGATTTGTTCTTTGTAATTTGTATGTACTTAGAGTTCAATTGCACGATTAACAATGATTGTTTGTGATTTTCTTTTTTGTTTGTGAAGTGGCATGACTTTCTTCACTTAGCAGGATAGAAAACCAAGTTATAAGGCTATTTCTCCTCTCCTTACCAGAGTTTTCATATTTCTTTCTGATGTGTGTAGCTTTTTTTCTAGATTGAATTGGTTCTATTTCCAACATTGTTGCATACAACACATGAATTATTTTGATTTGTTTTGCTGGTTTGTTTTCTTGCTTGGTAATAACTTATTATGTATGTTAGTTTATAAATTAAAATTATTGTTGTTTTGCTTTGCTTTGCAGGTTTCTTTTGTTGTTGGTTTATAACTCGTTTTGTTGCTAGGTTGTAAATTAAACTCCTGTTCTTTTGTTTTGCTTTGATGGTATATTTTTCTATTGGTTTATAACTTGTTTTGATGTTGATTTATTTAAAACTCTTGTTGTTTTGTTTTGCTTTGCTGATTTGTTTTCTTACTAATTTATAACTTATTTTATTGTTGATTTATAACTTGGTGGTTTGTTTACTTGCTGATTTATAACTTGTTTTGTTGTTAATTTATAAATTAAAATTTTTATTATTTTGCTTGTTTTAACTAGCTAATTTATCTATGTACTAGTTTATAATTTATTTTACTTTGCTTTGCTAGTTTGCTTTGTTGTTATACTTTGATTTGATATAGTTTTTAACTTGGGTGGCTTGATAATTCATTCTCTTTCTATAAATATCAAAATAAAAGTTTAACTTTTAAACATTTCGTTATATTATTTTATTATAAATGCATATAATTAATAAAAGTTTTTTTTTTAATTTTGATACGAGGTACTCATGCTATTTTGATACGAGGTACAGTTGTATTTTAAAATTTTTTTAACAATAAAAGTTTAACTTATTAAATATAATTATCCATTAATAAAATTTGTGAAAATTTTGTTTATCTCATCTTTTAAAAGTGAATTTAAATATTAAAAATAATAATTTTTTTCTAAAAAAATATATTTATTATAATAAAATTATAAAAGTATAATAAAAAATTTTGTAATAAAAAATTAAGCCTTTAAAAATGAATTTAAGTGTTTTAACTTTGTTGACAAAACCCTCGTACCAAATTCATGTAAACAAGGAATTAACCAACGAAACAAAACATATAATCTCAATTGCTTCATGTAAGTCGTCCAACGTCAAGTGTTCAAGTTCTTTCCATCACAAGCAAACAAAACATATAAACTCTGGCAGATCCGTTGAACAGACAGTAAACTCATGCATCCCCATTGATCAATCTCTCTTCTCTGTGATAATGATTTTTCTCTTTCATCAATTTTCTTAATAGCGGAAGTGTTTGATAGCGAAGCCTTCCAAGGTCCATATAGGGTTTGCAAATTACGTCTTAGAAAGCTTTAATATGAGTCGTGATCCTGACGTGAATTGGGATTGCATTTAGAGAGATTTCATCTTTGAGGAGCCGATTCAATTCGCGGTGGATGTATGCGACAAACACACACCCCGGATAATCTCAATTTCCAGGTATCCAATTTTCGTCTTGCTTATATTTGAGATCATTTTGTTGTTCCTAAGACGTTCCGATGCAATATTCAAACACACCATGTTTCTGACTTTTAACTGGCCTCCTTAGTCCTTTCTCAAATTTATGATTGCTGCCGCTCGGACTTTGCACTGTGCACTCTTGATTTAGATGTCGATTAAATTATAGGAGGCAACGAGTTAGTACTCCTTTTAGTCCTGAAAAGATTGGGATTTGGGTCAGTCATTTCTATCCTTCAAGTACTGAAATTGATCATTATTTTCCCGAAGGCAGAGTACAAACTACATGGGACAACACATTCCTTGTGGAGTTGGCAAAATGGTCTGCCCAATAAAATGTAGGGCTTGATCTTTAAATTTTGAGCTCGAATTAAATCTTCGTCTTCTTAGCCTGATCCAATCAAGCTCGGGCTAAGCCTGTAAATATAAAATCTTGCAAAAATTCGGTCTTTATCCATTTTAGGCACTATTTTGTGAGCTTGAATTAGATCCTGGCCTTCTTAGCCTGGCCTGCTAAAGTCTGCTACTCATCACAGGCTAGCCCAAATGGGCCAGATTTCACTTTGCCAACTTTAATTTCTTATTACATGTACGTCTACTGTCGCAATTAATGTCCTCGTCTATGCAGTTTTTGCAAACATGGTAACTGAGCGAGTAAAATGACCAACTAATTAAAGACTCAGAGACCTCATGAATAATTTCTTTCTTTCAGGGGGTAAAAGGATTGATTCCAAATGTTTATGCAACCAGAATGATTATTATCTTAATAGGCAGCTTAAGAGAATAAAGTCAAAAATAGTAAATAATTGGGATGGGCAAGGGGGTTCAGCTCCCCCAGTTTGTCATTCACTTGGATAAGTCATACCAGTATAAGTATTGATCTGTGTCAGTCATTAACATCCCCAAGTGTTTTAAGTCCTTTGAAAAGATTTCTGCATGGATTAAAATACAGGTCCAAGCCAGCTAATATTCTGCTGATCAAAACACTAAATTTAGGAAAATTTACCAAAAATAGAAAGGAAAGAGAAGAGTGATTGATTGTTAGTCATATATCTGAATATTTATAATATGCTTAAATTCGTGGTTAATTGTTATAAGAAATGTTATGTATATATAATGTTCCTTTTCTTTTGTCATTGAAATTTCAAATTTATCAGAATAAATCAACACTACACTCTGAATTGAGACTGGGCCGACGGATGCCCAAATGGATTAGTCCTGCACAAGAGTGTATTGGGTGCTGACTGCTGAGAAAAACTTATTGCAACCAAGTGATGGTGCATTAGTTCATGTTAGCCTCTAAACGGAATGCCTATTCGCAGTTTTAGATATGTGATACACTACATATGTATATTTTACTATTGGTACCGAAATTTAGTTCAGTGGATCAGACCAATAATCTTAGAGTGGTAGGTAACATTCCTATTACCTCAAGACTAGAGTTACCGAAGATCCAAGCAGTATACCAGGACTACTCAGTCAACTTTAAAATTCACTAGGCTGACACTTCATTAAGGATGTGCAAATAATTACGGCTTTTGCATTTGTTAGAAAATATCAATACAAACAAAATGAAAATTGAAAAATTATGATTAAAAACTGTGGTACTTTTTATTTTATATAGTAATTGGGCGTCTCACTGGAGAGGACAACCCTGTAAGGTGTTATGTTTCCCTCCAAATTCCTATTAAATGCATATAAGAAGCAAAATTAAAAGGTTGATACCCCAAGGATACTTTGTATGATATCAATGCTACGTATGTCATGAATCACTGTATTTGTTTTTAACTAAAACTCTGCATTTGCTTGACAATATAGACTGATAAGAAGGAAAAGGAAGAATGAAAGTAGGATCTGGTAAAGGGAGAAAAGTGTGCCTGGCGGTGACAAGTGCTGTGATTGCAATTGTATTGCTAGTGGTGATACTAGCATTGACAGTGTTCAAAGCCAAGAATCCTGTTACCACAGTGAACTCAGTGACACTAGAAGATTTTCACATGAGTTTGGATATAGCAAAACTAAGGGTAGATTTGAATGTGACCCTGGACGTGGATGTCTCTGTGAAGAACCCTAATAAGGTGGGATTCAAGTACTCAGACAGCACTGCCCACCTCAATTACAGAGGGCAACTGATAGGCGAGGTCCCAATCCCCTCTGGGGAGATTTCTTCTGGCGAGACCAAAGGATTCAACCTCACCCTCACCATTATGGCTGACCGTTTGCTCTCCAATTCCCAGCTTTACTCAGATTTCACATCTGGTTCATTGCCCCTAAATACTTTCGTGAGGATTTCTGGCAAAGTCAGCATTTTAGGTTTTATCAAAGTCCATGTGGTTTCCTCCACATCTTGTGATTTTTCAGTTAATCTTTCCAATAGAACAATAGGGAACCAAGAGTGCCAATACAAGACAAAACTTTGATTAATAGTTTTTGTTTAGAGTGAAACTAGACTCTAGATGAGTAGACCATACACGTATTATTTAATGTTCAATTAATTTGTTCATATTTCACTTTGTTTCATTTGCAATTCTGATGTGTATCCTACTCTCCTTTCCCTCTTGGGCTGCTTCTGGGAATTTATTTGTTATTAACATTCCCATTTTCATTTCTTCAACATAATGTTTACTTTTTTAAGTTAACTTCTATTTTCGTCCAGTTTTTAGTACGATTTTATTACGGTATTGGTACTCTGCTAACATGCTTTTAATTGGTTCCAATTTTATGTGTTTTTTAATTCAATGCATTTTTATATCTGTTATATTTATAATTCAACGAGTAAAGCAATTTTGAGACTCCAGTTCAGGAAAAGTTTCAGTTTATGACACCTGACATGTGTGGCTATTTTTCTCCAATTTAATTTTCCTTAATACAAAAAATTGAGAGAAAAATGTATAATTGAAGGCGAAAACTACTTAGGAAGTATGAATTACAGAAGTATTGAAAATTTGCTCCCAGTGCAGAAAGACATTCCAATGTTACATGCTACTGCAATTTTTTCTTTCCTCTATTTATCCCTAATATATTGACCCATTCTCATGTTTTTATTCATCTGAGCAAACGTCTCTGTGTGTGGGCTCACGCATAACAAATAGCCGTACCATTCACCTCGGACAAAGCTGATCCTACAACTAAAATTCGCTGGTAAAAGTTTAAATGCTTTAGGGTATCTAGAGCGAGTTGTGCTTCGAGTTTTTTTAAATAGGATCTTACTGCAATGGATTGGTTTAATAGAAAGGTTCCATGATTCCAGTTAAAATCCAAAAGTATATATAAATTGGCATATTTTGCAGTTTCATTATTTTAACATATTCTCTCATATATAGATATTTATTATTCTACCATTTTCAAGTTACTACTCATTCATCTTAACATTCTAATTTTATCTCATTCAATTTTTTCTTTGATTGTTCCTTTAGAACTTTCCTTTAAGTTCAATACTAAATAATCATAAATAACTATTTGATGTATTTTATGTATAATATATATTTTTTAATATTGAAAATAATAATCATATTGTATATCTTCAAGACCAAGAAAACAAAAAATCTAATGTATTGGTGTATATTAATCATAACTAAACTAATCGATGATAAAAAAGAAAAGAAAGGTTGTGCATGATTGTTTGAGGTTTATGTTTGGATGAAAAATTTTAGAAATCTTAAAGAAAAAGAATACAAAAATAAAGAAATGATTTTAGTGAAAGTAAAGTATGAAAGGGATTATAAATGATAATATAAAAAAATTAAACATAATAGAGAAATTATTAATTTTTTTCTGAAGACATGTCATTTAAATTTCTTTCTATTTGATATAAAAATTATCTAGTTAATACTCTGAAATATCTTATAAATACTTATTATCCAAATTCATATAATCCAGTAATTTAAAAAAATTTCACCCAAACACAACACTAGGATTCAGGGGGCAGATTATGTATGCACTTCGGCCGGATTGGACAGAAGCAGACTTGATCTACAATTGCAGCTACATCCTAGCATTCCAACGAGTATCATGAATTTATTTGGGTTAATCACAGGTTTGCACTTGCTATTATTTTTGTAACACTCATGTATAAAAGCTCTTAAGACCATTTTAATTTACTTATACGAGTAGTTTTTCTTAAGTCTATCTCATATACCACTCCTAAGGTTTGCAGCAATACAGCTCGCTTTTGAGTATTTGGGTTGTAATTCTCCGCATGCCTTCTTAATCTTGAATGACAATTTTTTTAAATCTGAAAAGGAAAATAACACTTCCCAACTGTTTGGATTTTGGAACGACCCGCAACACTGGACATCCATCATGTAATACCAAAGAGGTAAGGCGGGGCAAATAGGGAAAAAGGAAAACACTTTCCATGTTAGCCAACCCCAGAAAATATATAAAAAAGAAAAGTTACACAAACAAAATTGATTCCTTGCATCATCCTTTGCTCTACTTGTAGTCTAGAGCTAAATTTCTGCACAAGTAATATAAAAAAGGAAGGAAATAGAAGTCAGGCATCACTCCAAGCATTAGCTGAGATTCTAGAAGGATGAAATTTCACACTAATAATCACATATACGCCGATTTTAAACCCAAATCTGAAATAACACTTAATTGGCTGAGAAGAACATGACCAATGGGCGGAGAGAAAGTACCATTTAAGCTTGAACCATTTCAGTCAACTTGTGATATTAAAATTAGTTTAGTAACAAGATTTATAAAACATACAATAGAACTGAAGACCGACTTAAAAAAGAAATTATATATTTGAGTTAACACCGGAGAATAATTCATTGTAAAATAAACTAGCAATAGTTTACTATACAATGTAGCTGCTACATCTATCAGCTTGGTCAGATGCAATTGTGCCATGTAAAAATACATTACCCAGAACAAGCTAACCTACAAATTAGAGATACAAAAAACAGTAAGACAAAATTAGCAGCACCAAATGCAGTTACGAATGAATGTGATTTGCAACTGGTCTAGTCTCTCTCTATATATAGACAAACAAATTCAGGTGAATTTGTGTCAGAATTCAAGCTTCTTGCATAACCCCACTTGAATGTTCCTTGGTTTCCCTGCTGGCTTCATGGGTGCACCAGGACAAGTATCAGAAATTCCAGTGAATCGGAGTGGGCAAGGAGGCGTTTTACAATCATCTGAATGATTTGACATTTGAGAAAGAAGCCACGCAGCCTCAGCTTGCTTTGAAACAATAACTTGCAAAAGATTCTCGTATACGGATTCAACCATATCTTCATCTGAAAGAGATTCAACATCAGCATCAAAGGAGGAATGAAAATTTAGTCGGCGAGCAACGGTGGTCCTGTATTCATCAAGATACTTGTTACTGTGGGGTGCACGCGCCATGTTATCAGGACCAGGTGCAAAGGGGTCAAAAACACCGTCCTTGGGAGTTCGGGGAGTTCCACTATCATTATCATTGTCATTATCAGAATTAATGGAGGCATGCTTCAGTTGTTTCCTAACCACTGTGAGTGTGAGAGGGGATTGAAACTCCCCGTTCTCTGCCACAGTATCAGGAGTCATAGGAACCAGACAATCAGTGATCTCAGCCTCAATCTTTGGCTTTGGAGGAACATCTCCCTTTGACTCTTTGCATAGATCCGTCGAATCCATTAGCTACAGAACATCACAAATGGGGTTTAGTTTAGCACTCCGCTATACACGCCCATTTCCCCCCATAAACCCTAATTTACCTTCCCACTACCCACGAGGAATATTTTCAGAGCCAAAGCGATCAAATCAATTTCAAACACTACCTTATCAAGTTGTATATCTATTTTGGATGCTGAAAGAGACGAAGAGTACCTGCGTGAGAGACACTTGGAAGCGAGAAATGGAGAAGTGGAAATGGTGAATAGATACAGATGCCACTGCTCTGTTGCCTAGGATGTCTTGTGAGTACCAAATAGCGCCAAATACCCCTCGCCGTATATATATGTCCCATCAATCACACGTGTCAATCGTCTATTCGCCATATCCTCCCTCAACTTTTCTGTTCTTTTAATTACTACTATAACTGTTTTTTGAAAAACAAAATACTCTTAGCTAATTTTTTTTCTTCATTGAAAAACGAAAACTTGAAATTTCTATATGTTTATATTTTTATTATTAATAAATAAATTTTTATTACTTTAATTTACAATTTTTACATATTTTGAATTAGTACTTTTTATGTTTTTACCTATATTCACATTCAATATGTCAAATATGTATTAATATTGATTAAATTATTATTTTAATATTTTTAACATTAGAAAAAATACACAAGGATAAAATATTTATTTCCATGACTCGATAATTCTTCTAGTTGGAATTACTAAGAGATGTTTATGAATATTACTTAGATTGTGGTTAATTAATTACATTTTTTTAATGATACTTAATTACATTGCTAAGAATATGATTTTAAGTTTATTTTATGTATAACTTGTATGGTATTGGAGTTATCACATTAAGTATTTTTGGGTGTGATGTATTTTTAAAAGTTTCGAGGTTAAAAATTGGACTCGAGAAATGACAATGTTAGAAGCTCAAGAAATCTATTTTATACTTAAAATACATTTTTTCAACAAAAAAAAATAAAACTTTAGATATACTTTTAAACCTTCTATCATTCAACAATTTTATAATTTAATTAATACCCTTAATTTTGTAGATTTTGTATTTTAGTAGAAAATACTAGTATTTTAAATTTAATAAATATCTATAAATATTTATTTTGATTGTAGATGTTTGTTAATAGTTATTTACAGGAGATAAGAATTATTAGGAGTTATTTGAGAGTCTATGGAGTTGGTTTGTATGTACTTTGCATTTGTTGCACTGCACTCTCAACTAAATAGAAGTACGAAGGCTGAGTTACACACATCATCCCCTTATTTTATTTTATTTTATCTTTTTGCCTTCTTTTTACTCATATCACCTGCCTACTAAGAATAAATCGTAAAGGTAGCATATCAGCAACTTCTAAACAAGGTTGACTAGGACTATTGGAGGATCAAAACAATTATTTTGTGGACATTTTATGATGGTCAAACTTCAAGAAATTTACTACACTCAACTTTTAGAGTAACTCTCTATTTGACCCACAAAAAAGAATACCTGACCCAAATTAGCCTTCAAATAAAATAAAAATGTCCCTTAAGATTATGAATGCAAAACATTGCATCCATTATGGTCAACATTTTTAAAAATCAATTTAGGCCAATACTGATTTTGTTAGGGACTAAATTAGTATTACAGTTGTTTTTAAAATCAATTCCATATTTAAAATGAAAGAAAAATATTTGAAAGACTGAAATGTCACATATTGCACAAATTTTACTTGACTTTTATCTTCTTTTTATCGAACTATGCTTTTGTCCCCAAATATTAAAATGCCCTCTTAACTACTATTTAATTAAAGCCCTTGTAAGAATGACAACGGGTACTGTCAAAAAAAAAAAAAAAAACACCTACAATAGAAAGAGAAATTCTTGCCAAGTGGGTTTAGATTTGAGTGTAGTTATTGGCCTATAAAATTTTATAAGAATTTGAGATTATAGGCACTTTATTATCCAACCTACCTAATACTTGCATTTATTTACTAAAATAATTTCTTAATAAAAAATAATAAAATTACACTTGCATTCCTACAACTTTATAGTCTCCACTCACAAATCTTATTTTAATTATTTAATCTCTTAATCACTTTAAGTTTTTACATTTTTCATCCAACATCTTTGTCGTCGTAGTTGTATTGTAATGTTGTGTTGTGAAGTTATTTTTCAACTTCAATAGTTAAAAAGCTTTGTCAGTTAATTACCTAATAAGTTCAAGTTTATCATTAGGATGTAACATTTAAAAAAATATAGGTAATGAATGTGGATGTAGGTTTTTAAACATCGGAGAAAACTCTCATTTTAGCTCTTTCAATAATTTTAAGATAAGTCAAATTAATTTAACTAAGTAAAATTATATTATAATTCTCAACATATATTTCATTAATCATTTAAGTCTTTATTATCACCTTAACGTTAGTTTTCTTAATAAACATGTGACACATTAATTATTACCTTAGCATTAATTTGATAAATAACACTTAATGATGACATAACTAGAAATCTATAATTTTTTAAAAATTTCATCAATTTTGATTCTTAAAAATATCTCAAACAAAATTTGTCAACTTAATCTCTAAAATATTTATAATTTTTAATTAATTGATTTAATTATTATAATTTAGTCTCTTTCTTCCTTATCATTATCATCTTTATTTCATAATTTATTTATTTATTTTAAAAACTTCAAACTCATCACTTCACACCATTGAAAATTTTTTCAAAATCATTCATCTAATTATTCTTTTCAGTATAATACTTTCATAAATTTTACTTCATTTATCAATTTTTTTATTTAGTTTAGTTTTTATTTTAATTTATAAAATTTTACATTAATAAAAAGAAATCTTTATGTCACATTACAGAAGACTTTATTTCAAAAAATATATATATACATTGTCGGAAGTCTTTACTAAGACTAACCAGTAAAAAGTCAACAGTCTTTATCAAGACTAACTATCAAGACCAACTAGTAAAAAATTAACAGTTAAAAACAAACTTATAAATCAATTTTCTCCGGTAAAAAGTCTTAATATCATATTTATTTAGAAGAAAAATAAAAAATATATTTTTATTATGATTTTATAAAAAGATACTTAAATACATTTATATTGCCAAAAAAGTTAAAAGATTAATTGGTCAAAGTTTTATTACAATTTCTTAAAATGCTCTTGGATAACATACCTTTTAAGTTGATGATGGCTGGAACTATTTCTCAAGACACTAAACACTGGAACTTAAACTCTACCCCCATCAAAATTGCTAAAATTGAACCACCAAATCCTACTCTTACCACAACTACTAACCACCATCACCATTCACAACAATATCATCACAAACCTAGGTACCACCATAAGACAAGCTATGAGAAACACCATGCCATCACCTTCCAATTAGTCATTATTGTTTTCTATTTAACACAAACTTCACTACTACCATAACAAAAGAAGAACAGTTGGAGTTTGTTGATTTAAGTTGTAGGACCAAATGGATTGATTAGCGAGTATTTAGGGACTAATTTGAGTCATTAAGATTTTTTTTCATAATCAAATTGATAGATTTTGAGATTTAGGTTTTTTTTATATACTAAATGAATTTTAAGAGAAATTATAAAGTCTCATCAAGATCAAATTATCACGTCATTATTAAATGTCACATTCAAATAATACTTGACGTGTCAAATTAGCAAGTTCATGAGAACAACTATTGTCTAGCTAATAGTAAAATATTAACAATCGATGATTGCATATGCCAAGTGTTTACGGTAGTTTTACTTAGTTTAAGGAACAATTTGACTTGTCCTATAAATATTGAAGACTAAAACGAAGTTTTCTCGAAAAATGAGGACAGATACTAAAATTGCTATTTACACAAAAAAAATCAAGAAATAAGTAGTTGTTTTAAATTGAATATAAAGATAAATAATTAAACTCTAAACGCACGTGGGGTAAACCCATGCAGAGCATTGATTATGGACCAAAAAAGAATAAGGGTTTGCAACTGATCCGCTATTCCAAAGAAAAGTAATCAAGGGGCAGAAGTGCCCAGGTGTGATCCCCGTATACAGCAACAAGTGTAATAATGATTACTTTGAACAAACAAAATTCGCTGGCGAACCAATAAAAAATTTGAACAAAAATCCACTTTTGCCATCACTTGGGTTCACTTCCCTCCAACCTCTCACAAAAATTTTGACGACAAACTTTTTCCCTTTCCCGCACAATCAATTTCTAGAGCTTCAAACAACCTCTACCTGCCTTTTCTTCTTTTACCATTTTTGCCAAATTTTTTACCCTTTGTCGACTTGCTCTTTACATAAGAAATCCTGTTGGCTTTTTTCTGCCTCTCCTTCCGAATTTGATCCATATCTTTGATTTCAGAACGCACATGGGAATTGGGCATCAAATGCTGCTTCTTGCTGCCTTTAAAGTTCCTACGACCTCCTCGGTAAGATCCTGCATAAAATGAATTCAGAAAGTTGTAAATTTTTGGTTTATGTGAAGTATAACCAAACCTTGAAAGACCTTTATGGAAGTTGTGATATGATTGATCCCACTGCCATCAATGATATTAATGATTGCAATGACCGGAAAATTGGAGAAATGGGTGAAAATGAGGAAACTATTGAAAATGAACATGATGATACTTTAATTTGGGGACTGGTTGCTGATGCTATTGTGACTGAATGGCCTACACTTACACTAGGCAGTATACTAGATTGAAGAAAAAAGATGCTGCTAATGGCTCTAGGAAGGGGAAGGGTATTACAATAGGAAGATATGGAAGATGATACAAAAACTGAAGGGGAGGAAGAATACATCTACAAAACTAACACCTAGAGTTACAATGAAGAGGATTATCTTTAAGAAATTGAATCAGATTATATTAGGGTTTTAGACTGCCAACATATTTTTTTCTTATCCTTTACTTGTTCATAATTATGCATATGCTGCGAATTATTAATTTATGAGTATTATTTGTGTAATTATGTGCATAAGTGCAGATTATATAACTATATGAAAACATCAGAATAGTTGTCATCCAGCTATGCGCTATCCTGCTATAGTACTTTCAGGATTGCCTGCTATCTGAGATTGATAACTGTGGTACTTACACCACCATAAGGTATTCAAATTTCAAATGCTATTTTGGAATGGTTGTTTAGTGCATCTTTGACTGAGCTAAAATACAACCATTCCCCTGTTTCTTTTCTTTAATGCTTTTTGGCAAAAAATGTAAATCCAATTATTGGCTATAAATATATTTCCTATGTAAATCTCATCACTAACTGCAACTATAATGTAATATTATATAAGGCTTACTTTGTTCTTATTTATCTGTCCATGTAGAAATTCAAGACAATATTAATAGCTATTCTTCTACTAATATCCTTTTGTCCATATAAAATATTTATACTATTTGAGTAATTCAAGAATAAAAAAAAGACCCACTAATAAAGGCTAAATTAGTAAGTTCAACAATAAATTCTAACAAAATAACTTAATTCCTTGGTCTGTGTAATTTCTTCTCTCTAGACAAATAAATAGGAACAGAGGTAGTCTCTGATATAATATAATGAGACCAATTTAGATGCTTACTATGCATAACCCATATTGTGATTGAAAAGTTAAACAAACTATCTAATGTAATAAATGTTATAAGTCTGATCCTCTTACAAGTTTATTGGATTTAAATATTTCATTGAATCTAGTAAACTCTTACGGTTGTACCATATTCTAAAGAAGCCAAAAAGCAGACATAAGAGCACTTTAAATGTAAATGACATGATAAGAGCGGAAACAAGATAAGAAAACTGATGCAATCTCCTACAATATATTTCTTTTGGATGACAAGAACTAATTTACCAATATAACAATATGCGTCCAATGTAAAAAAGTGAAAAACCAGATACATTACCTGCCAAACTTGTTGGTTCCTGAGGATCACCATCATTATTTGCCCCTTTAAGAGATACCTTACTGTGCGAGCGTTCTTTCCACTTCTTATAAATACCAGTCTTGGTGGCCTTCGTTTTCGCACCACTCTCTGTCTTGATCTATTCTCAAATAGAAAATATAAATATTATGTCGAGGTAGGTGAATAAAAGAATCTTATCTCGTGTAGTAAGTACTACCAATATAACAATAGGGCCTTATAAATATTGTACCTTTCCATTAGCTGCAACCCGGTCACCATTGTTTAACTTGATGTACTTTTTACTCCTCTGACACCAAAAGTTTTGCACAAAATATAAACAAATTTTCATAAGTAACTTTTTAGTCTTTCTTTTTATCATTCAACTACAACTTTAGTATTACCTTATCCCAATGATACATTGATCTTTGTTTCTTAATGCCAGCACCATCATCCGCTACTAAATCTAAGACAGCTGCATCCAATCTAAAATATTGCATATCATTAGGACCAAAATTAAGAAAGGATGGGTAGTATAAGTAAAACAGAATCATATAACATACAAGTAAACTTGTTAAGCATCACAGAACAAACAGAATCAAATAAATGGCTTAGCATTACAGCCTCTTGATTATGAACTAATAATTATGGGCCAGCAGGATGTTTAGGGGGCTATTTGGTTTCAAAAGAAGTATTTTATTTTTCATTTTCTGTTTTCACTTTTAATAACAAAACTGTCACTTTGTTTTCATTATTTTTAGGTTTTTAAATATTTGTGTAAAAACAGTGAAAACATCTTGGAAGACAAAACAGCCCCGTACAGGAAACATCTTTTTTTACTGTTCCTACATATTTTTAAAAACAAGAAACAAACATAATGAAAACACCTGCCAGTCTTGCTCCCCCCTCCCCTCCTCAAAATAGCAAATAAGGGGGACTGATTAGCTATTATAAATATAAAACAAAATTTACCTATTTGACGCGAAGTCTTCATTAGCTTTTACTGAAAGGCCTGCCTCCATGTGCTGAGAATGATATTGAGATACAAGTTATATGGGCAACTAACTTTCAGTTTAAAAAAAGTATAACCACCACAGGGCATAGTATACATGTGTATGATGAACTATGCAATCGCAATCCAGATAGTGACTTACTTGATTTTTTGGTATTGAACTTATATAGTGATCCTCATCCTTGAAACTTTGTGGCTTTCTCTTAGAACCACATGCTGCTAAAACCAAAGGAAACAGAATCAGAAATTAATCATTACCGTTTGTCTTCCCCTTCCAGTCTCCTTTCACTCAAAATCCTAATAAAGCATACCCAAGTAAATGAAAACCTTAAAATTTTCTATCAATTTTAAATACTTAGAAGGACCCAATTCTAACTGCCAAGAAAGAGGTAATAAGCTTCAGGTATTAGGTTCTTTCAAGTACATGATACTATAACACAAAAAAGGTACTTGCTTGATAAAATAGGGAAAGAAAAAATTCAATATCAGGTGGATGGGGGCCCAGGCTACTGGGAGGGGGATGCTGTTGGACAGAACAACTATACACTCTTGGTCTATAAATGAATTATAGTTATAGGTAGTGATTTTTAGTGACTACCCTGGAGGATATAAGGTCAACTCAATTTAGTCAAAGCAAGCAATTAACAAAACCAACTCTGCCAACCATGTTATAAGCATATTTTTTTAGCTCCTTTTTGTCATTAATCAATTGTATTTCCACATTAACCTTTTTCCTTTCCCTTAATGTTTTTCTTTTGCTAAAGCCTATGACAAGAAGTTCTTGAACTTGGAAATTCATAGAAATCACCTCAACCACATTTCTACACCCTAGGTTGAAATAGAAACTAAAGTGACCATGATTAACAAATAACATAAAACCATTGCATAAGATACTATACTCAAAACAAGGGGGAAAGGCATCACAACGAGGATAATCCACTTACAAACTTAAAAATACAAATCAAACTTATAGAAAAGTATAATGACAATATATATGAAACAAAACCTTTTCTTCCTTTCTCCACAAAAGAAGTGATTTCTGATTGAATTTCCTCCTGCAAGAAGCAAATATACATATCCTCAAGCAATGAATACGAAGAAAAGAAAATTCAAAATAAAACTACTAACTAGATTGATTCCAATCAGTCAGCAGGTTACTTAAAAAAGGAGGTCAAATAATGCAAATCCAAATTTCAGCTACATACCTTTTCCTTTTCCTTTTCCTTAGTAATCTTAGATTGCTGTTCATGAACCAAATTTATAATATTCTCATGAATGGCTCTTTTCCTTTTCATAACATCAACCCATTGGCCAGAAGGGCCCTGCAATTATTGATCATCGTTTTCAATGTAAAGTTAAAGCAGAAAGCCAACAATATGGACATGCACATCATAACAGATATTTCAAGAGGGTTTTCAGGTGGCATGCAGCGTAAACTTGATAAACCTATAATCACATATCAGTGGAAGCAGGCACATGGGTTTAGCCATAACAACACCTGATTTTCAGTTTTTATCTGCAGAAGTTATTCTTTCATGCATTGTGTCATCTGTTTCTATTATGAAGAGTTCATGTAGTGGTCAAGCTTAGTGCTTCATTGCAGTTATTTTTTAAATTAAAATAATTATGACCAGGTCCAGTAATCCTGCTTTCTGAATCAGTCAGTCAGTTTTAGGAAGCCAGGGGGTAATCCTAGTCTATGTGTACTCCATGTTCAGTTTGTAGTAGACATAAGAAAATTAAAGAAAAACTTATATTCCCTGGAGATTCTACTTTGGCAATTAATTTCTCTTGGAGTGGGATTCTTTCTCTGGGAAAATTAGTAGATTATTTCAGTTACTTCTACTTGTATATTCCAGCAGTCTATCATAATTCCAACATGATATATCATGGAACATAAATGAAACATTGACAAGAACATTCAATATACACAACACAACCTAATCCTGAATACAACATACCCCAATTCAATCTAAGAATGAAATAAGAAATTGACTTAGAAGTAACCAAAATCAAAACAAAAGAATGCAACTGGAAATTGACATAAAGACAACCGTTTAAGTAATGAGGAATTGACATATAACTTTCTACAAATATTTCATAGCAAACCTAAATTGTATTAACCCAGCAAAGCATGAATTAGAAAATAGATTTGAATTCTGAAGAATCATGAAAAGATGATAGAAAGACATAGAAAAACAACATCATCCTCTATGATTATCCAACTTTCATGTATGAGAATATATTAAAATAGAAAATGTTAAATTGTATAAGAGAAGCATGAATTTTAATCACTGGAAGGGGGCAACAAGAAAAATGTCATTCTAGGTACCAAATCAAACAGTAAAGTCAATTCGACCAAATTATGGAATCCTAAACTGAACAAAAGAAGGATAATGCATTTAAAGTAGAAACTCACCTGCTGGTGCTTAGATTTTGCTGCTTCACCTTCAGCTTCCAAAATGGTCTGCTTTGGCCTGATATTGAATTATTAAAACTATGTGAATGTACAATCTATTAAAAGCAGTAAGTAGAAAGGATTCCAGCATATGAATATAATTTGGCACTCACCTAAACTTTTTCAAATGCTCAGAAAATGCAAGTGCCATTAACTCCCCCGTTTCCAACACATTCATGAACATCGGATGCAGCCCTTCACGAGGCAAATCCTTTACTCTCCTGATGGACTCCTTTGCGGGTAAGGGTTTTGTTTTAGAATATAAACGAAATGCATTTTTACAGGTTCTCTGCAACGATTCCAGTTCTGCCGAAGTATCAATAATTTCCCTAACTCTGTCTGAAACAAGGTCAATGACTTTTTGGGGGAAACGACCATAAATAGTTTCTCTATTAGCCATTGCCTGGTCATTTCTTGAAATTACTCCATCCATATCCTGCAAGACCTCTTCTTCGGTGGGAGCAGCTTTGATTGGTTTTGAGAGAAACAGATGAAGATCTAAAAGGTAAGCCATATCCTCGGAAGTCACAAAAGAATATGCCGTACCAGTACGACCAGCCCTTGCAGCCCTTCCAACTCGATGGACAAATATTTTAGGCTTGGGAGGAAAGTCCCAATTGATAACATTATCAAGTAATGGAATGTCAATACCCCTAGCCGCAACGTCTGTCACAATCAACAACATTGTCTTTCGAGCCCTAAACCTTGATACATGGATTTTGCGAGCATCTTGATCCATGTCACCATAACATACAGAAGGCTCAATACCCTCTTCACGAAACAAAATGTTGAGGAACTCCACATGATGTTTTGTTGATACAAAAATTAATGTCTGCTGATCAGGACCAATATGCTCCCTAATCAAATACAGCAAGGCCGCATACTTCTCTTCCTGCCTCATAGTGAAAAAGGCAAGCTTCAAATCAGGACTAATTTTAGTTTCCAAATCGAGACGGACAAGCTGAGGATCTCTCAAACCGGCCTTGGCAAATTCAGCAAGCGCACTGGGTAACGTGGCACTGAAAAGCAAGGTCTGACGGTTCTCGCCCAGCTGAGCAAGAATTTGATGCAGCTGCTCGGCAAAACCCATGCCGAATAAGCAATCAGCCTCGTCGAAAACAACATACTCCACACTGCGCAACGACATGTCATCGACCTCAGACAGATGGTGCATAAGCCTACCGGGAGTGGCAATTATAATGTCTGGACTCTGAGCTAACTCCTCAAACTGACTTTCCATACTATCACCGCCGACTAATAAACTAACACGAAGGTCTGAGGAACATAATAAAATAAAACAGAAAAAAACTATCAAAGCATGCCCTTGTAGTAAGTAACAGTAGCATCATCGTAAAAGATAAAAGAGAAAGAACCTGTGAAGTGGCCAAGCTCTTTGGTGAACTTGAGAGTCTGAAGGGCCAAGTCCCTAGTAGGGGATAAAATCAGGGCTCTAACTCCGCCCTGAGGGAGATGCTGGTTGAGGCGATGAATCATGGGGACAAGAAACGCAGCCGTTTTGCCAGAGCCAGTGCGAGCCATGGCAACCACGTCAGAGCCAGAAAGGATGAGGGGCATTGTCTTCCTCTGAATTGGGGTCGGCACTTGGTACCCCTTCCGCTTGATTCCTTTGAAAACATTAGGATTCAGACCAAGTGACTCAAACCCACCAGAATTCGCATTCTTCTTTTTCTTCTTCTCCTTCTTCGCACCCCTTCCTTCGCCTCCCATCTTCTGTCACAATATTTTCTTTCGCTTGCTCACGTCTATGGCCGCTCTGCTTCCAATTTCATCCCTCCCACTAACCCCAACCCCCCAAAGTAGGGTTTTATTCCGTTCCATTATTTGAATTTATTAATTTTTTTAAAAAAAATAAAATATTTTGAATATTTTAAATAAAAATCTACAAAGAAAATAATTTGTATAGTTTTAAAAATAAAAAAATTACGTATATGCTAAATTAAAAAGACAAAAAATAGAATTATTCCTTTATTTTATTTTATATAAAAAAATTAATATATTTTGCTTTCGTTGTAATTTTATTTATGTTTACTTTTCATACTTTTTCTAATATTCGTTTACTTCTCAAACTTTATTCACTCATTTACGTATATTTAAATTAATGGTATTACATGTGCTTTGCACGCACGCCTTATTAAAAATATCTTATAGCAAATGTTATATAATTATTTTATAAAAATAAAAAAAATCGAATAATTAAATAAAAATTTAATTTACATTCTAGAATAACTTATATAAAGAATAATTTTTTAATAATGTATTATATTTAACAACTATTTTTAGATATTAAATTTTACTAATTTAACTATTAAATTAAACAAATTTACTGATTAAGCATATCAAATTCATAAAATTTTATATAATTTTAAAATTATTAATAATTTATTGATTCATTTTATTTTAACATGTAATATATTTTTAAAAATATAAATAAATATTAATTATGAAATTATATTTTTAGATAAAGATGATTTAGTGAAAAGTTTAATAAATTGTCTACACAGTCAATAAAAGATTGAAGCTAATATAAAATTATCATTCATAATAATTTTATTTTAAAACTAATTAAATTAGATGCGTCTATTTTAAAACTGAAAACTACTCCCTGTGTTTCCGTTGCACATTCCCAAGTAAAATATCAATTATGATATCTTATTGAAATGAAATTTGTATTTGACACAAAAATAAACATTATCTTATAACTTGTTATTTAACTTTTCATTCTCAAAATTTTTAACTTTATTTATTTAGTATAATCTCAATTATCTTATACTTTCAAATATCTATCAATTCTATAAAAAATAATATAAAAATATTGTATCACTTTAACACAAATCACTGACGTAGTACACAGTCAAACTCAATAGCATATATATAGTCCTCAAAATAATATTGAATGATTTAATAGTTAAATTAACAAAATTTAGTATCTAAAAATATTATTAAATAGATTAAGTGCTCAAGACGTAAGTGGATTTATTCTCTTGTTTCAAATATCTTATCACTTTCTTTTACATATAAATGAAAACATTTATCATTGTAAAGTTTATTTTTGATGTACTATAGGTGTAAAATTTTTTACAATATCAATATATTAGAATACACAATAAGATTTTTAAATCAATCATTACAAAAATAAAAAAATATATTGATATAATAATTTATAATTGTAGAAAAATATTATATTGTGAGCCCATTTTAATCAAGTTTATTATTATATTATAGCCATATTTTAATATACTTTTTTATTTTTGCTAATTTATCAATAGTTATTATTTACTTGTATACAACGATTTGAATTTATTTACTATATTAAAATTTCATCATTCCATTTTGTTTACATTAATAAATAATATTTATTTATGTAATAATAACAATAATGGTATATCAAATACTTTATAAAAAACAATATTTTAATACTACCATAATCATAAATAGGTAATATTTGCTTGATTTAATTCAATAAGGTCTCAAATTTGAATTTTGAGAATGAAAAAAAAAAAAAAGAGTTTACTCCATCATGCTATGGATGTTTTTGGCTTAAATAAGAATAACTTTTGTAAATATATATATATATATATATATATATATATATATTCCTTATTTTTTATGGATTTTTAATTTAAAAAATACTTTACCCAAACCTGTCTAATAAAATTACAACTATTAAACTTTAAAATTTTGAGTCTAAATTAAATTTAAATAATTTTAGTTTGATATGATCAAGCTCAATGCGGGTTAAGCTTGCAAAAACCTAAAAAAAAAAAAATGAGATTTACACATTTTAAACACTATTTTTGTGAATCTAAATTAAATTTAGTCCAATTCACTAAATAAAATTTAGCCCAATTCACCATGTAGTACATGCAACATGCATCACATAGAAGTAATCACATGATTAAAATAAATAAATTTATATTGAGATAAGAGAGTTAATTTACATGCAAATTAAATTGAAATTCATCACATCTTAACTATCTCATGAATCCTAACTTTAAGAGAATCTTAAAAGGATTTTAAAATTGTAAAAGTCTAAAGTTACAAATATTAATTAATTTGATGGTTTATAATAAACTTTCCTAATTGCTATAGTAGTCACAACCCATTTTTGTGTGACAACACAAAAGAATCAATTCATCCCAATAAACTTGTGTGGGCACATATATAGTTAAGTCTTATGCTCGCATAACCTCATTAGTTAGTATTTTTTTCATAACTCGTCATGTGAAATATCTAAGTATACTTTAAGGATTTATCCCTTCCATCACAGTCATGAACAACTTCACACACCCCATATAGACTATAATATTTTGAACTCCAAGCAATAAATCTTTAAATTGTTCTTTGATGAACGATAGGTTTTTATTTTGTTTTGCAAAAAGATTTGTCATTAACTTTCATCAAAACTTGCAGAAAAATTTATGTAATATAGGGTGCAAACCTAGGTTGTCTCCAAAGACTTTAGTTTGTAACATACATTGAACATGTTGTGAACATTTACTATGAAAGTAATTAAAACAAGGGGGTTTTGTGTGATTCTAATTTTAATGTAAAGGCAAGTGATGAAATTAATGAATCCAATTAATGAAATATGCAATCCTTAATTTGTTCATACAATTCTATCCTTATCCCTCTCAAGATTCAATACTTTTCCTCTTCCTCTGAATTAGGGTAACTCAAAAAGTATGAATTAATCTTAGATTCCCATACGAATTAAGCAATTTATATGGGCTCCAACCTCTCATCCCCAAGATAACGCTACCTTAGAAATTAACTTAGGATTAAGCAAACTAAGTTAAGAATTTTATTAAAATGAATTAGGGTTAATTAAGTAATATCCCCCTCATTCAACCATTAATTCAATTCAAAGAGTTGAGAAATGTAAATTCATGAGAGAAAGGAAATTATATTGACATTCATACCCAGGGATTCAAGAACCCATGAACTCACTAAGGATTACAAGAAAGTTTAGCCCTCCATAGGGATGGGTCTTACAAATTCAAGATGGAAACAAAAGGAAATCAACATCATAATGCAAGAATTAAAAGAAATGAAAGGAAATTGTAAATCAAACCCTAAATTAGCCTTGGCTGTCACCCAAGGATCCTAAACTCTGCAAAATGCTCCAAAAGTGGCAAAAGAATATAAAGAAATGTCAAAAGCTCCATACCCTAATTTCTCAAATTCTATTTATAGTGCAGAAATTTTCGCCCAAAGTGACTACTATAGTTTCATAGTGATAACGCGCAGCATTCCATAGTGTTTATGTGCACTCCATAGTGTTTACGCGCGAGATCTGTGATTTGGGCCTCTCTGGAGTTATCACTTTGGCTTCATAGTGATAACACGCAACGCCCCAAAGTGATACTCTCGCTCCATAGTGTTTACGCGCAGGTCCTATGTTTTTGCCCTCTCTGAAGTTGTCACTTTGGCATCAGAGTGATAACTTTGGCTGCTCCAGAGTGTCCACTATGGTTCCATAGTAGCTACACGCAAGCCTTGTATTTTTTGGCCTTTCTGGAGTTGTCACTATGGGTTCATAGTGACCACTCTGGTCTCCTTTTCTGGAACTAGCTTGCTGTAGTGTTCACTATGGACTCCAAAGTGATCACTTTCACCTCAAACTTTCTCAAATGCTAAAAATTCATGGAAAAAGTCTAGAAACTCCTGCACAATTATTCAAATTATCAAAATTGCAAACTATATCTATGTGAATCAATGTAAATTAACCAAAAATTAAGAAACCTATGATATTTGACCAAAATTATATTTTTATGTTATTTACAATTCCTAAGTTTACTTTTTCTATTAAGAAATATTAAAATGACAAGTAAAAAACTAATAAAATGTGGACTCATCATTCTTGCATTCAAAAGTAAAAGAATTGATGAATTTTACAACTTAAAAGAGAAAAATTAACATATACTACTGTAAAATTTTTACATACTCAAATTAAAATGTATTCTTAACACTTTACAAATTCCTAGAAAATATACTCTTAACACAATCAATATTAACATTAATGACTATAATTTTAAACAATAATATATGAAACTTATTAGCCACGTAATTAGATAACAATAATAAAAATAATGAATTAATAACGGAGAGATCATGTGAGAATGAAAAAGGATTTTTGGGGAATTTATTCAAAAAAAGAAACTAAATGACAAAATCACAAATTTTAAAGGATTAAAAATGTATTTGAGTCTATTTAGAATGTAACAAAATATATTTATGAAGATTATTGTTATTTCAATGTATTTTAAATTTCTTATTTTATTTATGAGAAAAACAAGTCATGTTGCTTTGCACAACCACAAACAAAACAAGATGCGAAATTATATATTTTGTTACAAATAAAACAAGTACACTTCTTTTTTTTACAAAGCTAACATCATACTTCCTGAAGCTGAGTTTGATTTGAGCTAGAACTAGAAAACTATGATAAAAAATGCTTAACAAGTGCATGTTTAATAATATCGTCATCACGCATCTCATTATTATTCTTCAAAGAATATAGTAATTTATCAACTAATGCTTTAAGAGATAAACATTTTGGGAAAGTATCTGCTTTCCTAGGAAGATCATACGCAAGTTCGGTAAACTTATTAATTTGAAAAGTAAACTTTTATTATGAAACATTTGAAATGCATGAAAATGACGGTAAATGTGTTATTTTATTTTCTGGTGCCGTGGGAAAATAACATAAAAATTATAAAGCTAAAGCTTTAATGAAATCATCGATGAAATTAGCTTGTGTGTTTTGGCTGAAGAAGAATCCTTGATCTTGTGGCCCACAGACATTACCTGAAGATCATAGTCACTTAATTCACGTATCTCAATCCTAATACTAATACCAGGTTTGGCATTTTGATATGATATCGGCCCAAGCTGAATGCAGAAGTAAGTAAACAACTAAATATACATGGTCATGGACATGGTTCCTCTGCTCTGCTCGATCTCGACTTTTAAAAGGCCTTGATCACCCACCCTCTTTGTCTGGTCTGTCAATGCAAAATGAGAAGGTTGAGGTGGGTTCAGTCTTTATCACTTTCATTTACATTTACAGTTACATTTACATTTCATGGAATTGGATTTGTGGTGTGTGACAGAAAGCTGCAAAAAGCGGAAGGGCAAAGGAGGAGCCCACGAATATCGGCGTTGGAGGCTGAGGCTGAGGCTCACAGCCTTTCAATGAGTCGGCACTTGGATAACAGTGAGGGACCTGCATTCCGAACTAGGGGTAGAAAGAACACAAAACTCATGCCACTTCAACAACCAAACAAGGTCTTGCTTACTTTTACATTTTTCATGCCTTCCTTAAACCTTATTTTAGTTGACACTTGACAAGCCATAGTGCAGGGTGTGAAACATTCTTCGCGTGAAGATATTCAAAAGAAAAGTGCCGATGGTGAGTGAGGTCTTCTCACCTTTTTCACCATCATACTGAGGTGGCTTTCAACATGATTAAAGTTCTTCTAATGCATTTCATTTACTGCGTGTTTCATGTGTCAGATCGCCCATCAAAACTGCCATCTTCAACTTTTTTGCCAGAGAAACGAATACTTCAACTCGTCCTTGACACTTTGCAAAGGTGTACATTGCTTTTATCGTCTTTATGTTGCCATTTCAAAACCTTGTCTCCTGTAATTTCAGTATAATATTTAAACTCGTGCAGGAGAGACACCTATGAAATATTTGCTGAACCAGTTGATCCAAATGAGGTGTGTGTCAACATTAGTTTCAGTTCTTGTGGATGTTACATGGCATTCCCCTTCTAATTCACTTTCTTGATGGAATTTTCTACAAAGGTTGAGGATTATTATTCAATCATTAAAGAGCCTATGGATTTTGGCACCATGCGGGCTAAACTACATGAGGGGATGTATACGAGTCTGGAACAATTTGAGGTTACAGCATTTATTTTATTTTATTTATATGCTCATGTAATTGTCTCTTTTATTATTCTATCTACCATGAATCATGATGCCTCGGTTCATGTTATGTTTAAATGTTTGTTATCTAATGCATGCTATTTAAACCATTATGCAGCATGATGTTTTTTTAATATTCGACAATGCGATGCATTTTAATTCTTCGGGTACCATATATTTCAGGCAGGTACGTAATGTAAAGCTGATGAAATTTTTGGCACTAAGTTCCACTATAAATTCTATAATTTATCTTGATGAAATAATTTATTAACCCTTTCATCTTTCAGGCTCGTGTTATAAATGAACTAGCTAAGAAAGTTTTTGATCTATTAAAAAACAATATTGAGAAGTTTGAATTGGAATTCTCAGAAACAAGGCGAAAAGTAGGTCGGAGGAACCCAGGAGACTTTAGGGATTCAATAGACATGAATTCTTGTGAAATAGATACTGGTGTGCCCTCAAAAACTGTACCATGTTCTTCTCGTGGTACATCAAACCGGAAAAGCATTAGGGCAAATCATGGATGTCCTGACATTGCTAAGCATGTTGATGCTAGAGATGTTGAGATTCCTTCAGGTAAGAGGAAAGACTAGTCTGAAAGGAAGATTTTGTAGCATCCTATTTGATTTTGAAATTAAAGAATGATTTTCCATTTGATGATCACTGCATGTGGTGGGATAGAATTATGAATAATCTACCAACTTTGATTAGTGTTTTCATACCTTCTAAGTTTATTGTGCACCGTAGTTCTTATTTTACTCTTGTGTAACCTTGTACTTAGTTTGATATTCTACCAGCTAACCATTTCTTCTGTCATTGTTGTACATTTAAAAATCTGGAAAATCTCCTCTGTATTCCTCCTTACTCTCAAAGCTTAGCACCAAAGCTTCTTATGCATCCTTTGTTCCACAAAACTATTCTCACATGTTTTGTGTATTTTGGACATCTTAAAGACATGCAAACTTATCTGGTTAACAAAAGTTTATCAATCAGGTACTAAAGACAGTAGCAGATGCAGATCTTTTGAGGTTGATAGACGCTGTACTTATAGACCTTTGTCCCTGGACGAGGATAAGTCAATATTTTCCACGGTTTATGGTAAATTGAAACTTCTAGAGCAAGTGAGTCCTTTTTGCGCCCATTGTCTTATGCATGCATATATATATTCTAGTTTGGATTGATCATAATTGTTGTTTCTTATCCTTTATATAGGTCAATCAGCAAGATATTGGCTACAAAGATAGCTTGATGTTGTTTGTTAAAGATTTAGGAACCACTGCTAAAAATATAGCTAAAAGGAAATTACTAGGATGTGAAATTCGTACAGCATCTACTTCTGTTCCATGTACACCAAATACTTCTAATTATACAGTCACTGCCTCTGCCTTGATGTCTCAGTATCCCTTGAATCGGTTTCCCGATTATCCTAATGAAATGAGAAGCCCCATGGAAAAGATTGCGAGTAGAAGGGAAGGGGTTGAAGGGACATTGAATACTGAAAGAGAGAGCCGCTGTAATCCCTTAGAGGGTAATACTCAAGGAAGTCACGGGTGGCCTTTAGGGTGTGATAGAGAGTTTCCAAACCAGAGTTTCTGTTTTGATTCACACTGTTCACGAGCTTGTGCTGAAGATTTCAAAGAAACTGGCAAGAAGATGTTGTTGGACAAATCAAAGTTTGTCAATCAAGAACAGCTGACAGTGTCAATCCAAGAGAATTCTCAAACTAATTTGTTAGAATCAAAGATGGAAAGTAAATGCAAGTTTCAACCACGACCTTGGGCCATGGAAAGTAGTAATGTTTCATGTTTCGCTCAAGATAGAAGCCAGATGCACCAATCTAGTTCAAAGTGCGTATTGGGTGATCGATTAGCCCAGTGTCCAACAAAGGAGTTTAGTTGGTCATCTGAGTCCATGAAGATTTTAAAATCTGACCAGTGTGTGCCACTGGCTTCAAGTTTTGTTTTCAATCTTCCATATTTGAGGACACGGCTTGATCAGATAAACTCATCGGAGCAGTATGGGTTCTTACAACCTTAGCAATCACAAACAGCGGCAATAGCATATACTGAGATTCAGTGCCTTACTCTCGCCTAGTGTTTAAGTTTGCATTTTCAAGGTTTAAGTTGCTGTAAATGGTAAAGCCCGTCCATCTTTCAATAAATACAACATTTATATTTCTCGTCTTATATGATTTTACTTTGGATAAAAATAAATGCCCATAAACATTAGTATAAAGCTCCATTGCCAAGACAAATACCATATTAACATGTTTTTGTTTAAAAAATTATATTTTAGACTAGTCATAATACCCGTGTTTTACCCGACTCCATTGAAAATTAAATATTAAAACACAATATATATATATATATATATATATATATATATATTACAAATAATAAAATATATTTCACAGTGGAATGAGGAAAAAAATTAATTTTAATTGTAAAATAAACTTAATCATATAATTTTTTTATAATCATATTATTTAAGAAGAAAAATGAAATAAAATCAGCAATAAAAAATAGATATATAGTTTATTTTGTCTTAGATGTTACAAAACTAAGATTATATTTATTGTAATTTATCATAATAATACATTATAAATTTTTTATAATGTCGTTTAAAATTATATAGTATTTTATTATAATAGTAATGGTTTTTTTTACTATTTCATTTAATGATTATATTATTACACAAATAATTTTATTCATAAAATAAAGTCATCTTACAAAAATTAAATTTAATGTTATAAACATAAGATTAAAAAATATAATAACATACTATAGTAAAATAATATTATAAGTAGAATAATATAAGTAGAATAAAATAACATATATAAAATTTAAATTTTCTAAATATTATATGTCATTATATATTTTAGTGTTTACGAGTATATTATAGAATGATAATTATACGAATTTATCAATATTGAAAATTTTGTTATAATATATTGTTAACACATTTTAATTTTAGATTAATTTTTAATAGGCTTCATTATATCTATAGCCTCTTTAATTTGGATTAGAATAATTTTGTTCTTTCAATTTATTTAAAAACAATTTAGTATTTTGACTCTTAAAATTGAGTAAATTTAATCCCTCTATCAATATTCCTTAACGTAAACTCTAAAAATAATCTTGCATGTCAACATTTTTATAAACAGAATTATTTTAAAATTTTACACAAAATTTTCAAATTGAAAATTTTATTATAGTTTGACGTTAATTTTGTTATCAATTTTGATTAGGATAATGAAATAGATTTATAATATAAAATTGTAAAGATATAAAAAGAGATGATAAGATTCTATTGTAAAGATATAATAAAATATAGATGAGATTATAATTTGAGCGGGAAAGTCTGCGGTGAGGATTGGAGAGAGATGTATGTAGAGCGTGAATTGCTAGGAATCGTACGTATTGAGGTGGGAAGGGAAGTGTGTGTTATATAAATGATTGTGAGATAATGGGAGAGAGTTTGTTATGAGTTGAAAGGTGGTTTTATTTGTGATCATCCATCCATCCATCCATCCATCCATATCCATCGAATCCATAGAGTGGGTGCAGTGGATGTGGTGGTGGTGGAGGCAAATCAATGGCATACAGGAGAAAGCAGGGAACATCAAAGGCTTCAACCTTGAAGGAAGAGATATCGAATGAAAATGGGAATGGAAATGGAGATTGCAATGATCCACCTTCTCTTTCATCTTTATCCCCTTCCCCTTTCTCATCCTCCTCCTCCCTCGCTGCTCAGGCCATCAAAGCCTCTGCTGCTCGCCGTCATCATCCCTCTCTTTCCTTTGCTTTCGCCCCCAAATCTGAACACCAACATCACAGATCCAAGGTTACTTCATTTTCATTCATATATCATATACCAATACTTCAATATTTTTAATTAATTTCCGTGCAATGCAGAGCTTTGATCCTAATTATCAAGACGGGGATGTTTCCAAGTCTGGTTTCTGGGGCGTCCTCGCTCTTAAAGCCAAAGAAATTCTCGAGGACGATAGCTCATTCTTACAACACAACGACGCCAGTATGTCCCAAAAACTCAGATCTCACTCTTTCAATACCTTTTCTCCTGCTTCTCGTTCTCAGAAGAAGGGAGGAGATTTCACAAGTCCAATGAAGCCAAAAGAAGCTTCGGGGGCGTGGAATCCATGGCCGCTATCCACCCAGGCAACAGACTCTCAATCTATCCAAGAAACACAACTCATGGCATCTCGAGACGTAAGGTGGCACTGGCAACTATGTAATTAATTGGGCGTCACTGCCTCACTGCTTCATGCAGTCATATAAGGCTAATCATTATAAATATATGATAGTACTTGATTTCATCATCATGCCATTAATTAGAAGAAAGGCATTTTTGTAAGAAAAAGAATTCAGTTCATTCGGTTTCTAATATGACATGACCCACATTTTTTTGTTTTGCAATTGGCTGGGTGATAGGTGGCAATGGCGACAGCTGCCAAAGCAAAACTACTTCTGCGCGAGCTAAAAACCGTTAAAGCAGATTTGGCATTTTCAAAAGCACGGTGTGCTCAACTAGAAGAAGAAAACAAACTACTCCGGGACCGCGAGGGGCCAGAGAAGGGACAAAATCGTGCAGACGACGACCTGGTACTGATATTTGAGTTTGCTAGTTGTTCCCTAATCCAATAAATTATTAATTTATCTCCTTAATTTAGAGTGATGAGGGACACAAATTTAAGTTATTTTAATTAGTTAAAGTTTGTGATGGATCAGATCCGGTTTCAACTAGAGACACTTCTTGCTGAGAAGGGTCGGTTAGCTAATGAGAATGAGATGTATGCTCGGGAAAACCGTTTTCTAAGGGAAATTTTGGAATACCATCAGTTGACAATGGAGGATGTGGTGTATCTTGATGAAGGCATGGAAGAAGTCGCAGATCTATATCCCGTAGATCCCACTGCCAACGCCCTTTCTCGGGTACCCTTGTCCCCACGCTCGCCGCGCTCTACATTCGCAAGTCGATCGGCGCAGACCAAAACAATATTTTCTGTGCCAGAAGAAGAACACGATGAGCATGCATCAGAATATGGGGCTCCTCCTAGTGTCACAGTCTCAGTTTCTACAGATGAGCATGCAAACTGATCCTTAATTTTACGTATCTAGTTTAATTTAGCCTTAGATGGGTTTCTTATTCGCCAAGCATACATATGCGTAATTAATCTTACTATTATGCATGCATAACTGTAATATTTATTCACCTTTTCTCTTCATTACCAAAGGGAAAATTGAAATAGGAGGGCCGAGGGCCGGGGATTAGTGTTGTGTTCCCCCAAAACAAAACACACATTTTGTTTCTCTGTACCTATATATTGTTGGTTGATTTGTATCACACACCAACAAACTAAGTCGTCATGTTCTATTGTAAATTATATCTATAAACAAATATACTTTTATATCTTTTTAAGTGGTCATATTTTTGTTTTTTCTTCATCTTCACATTTTTAACAGTTAAACTACCCTTCATTTGATCTACTTTCTTTGAAAATGAGGACTATGAAGCAGGTCATTTTACCTTTATATATTTACTTTACTTTCAGGAAGTAATTTAGTGTAATATTATATGCTGCAAATACACTCTCTTAATAAAAAAATCCTATAAAACAGTAAATAAATTGATTTATCATTTTGAGAAGATGAAAATATTTATTAATTTTTATCTATTAATTATAACAATTAATTTGGAAAAAATAATGTTGAAAGTATTTATAATCAAATAAATAAAAAAGAAAGCAAACTCTTTGGCCGAAGTACCAATACATGGTTTACAATGACAATCGATTGAAAATATTATTTTTAACCTAAAATTAGAAGTAAACTACATCCAAATATCCCTTTGACTTTAGCAAGACGAGTACTCGAGAGACCGATTAGTGTTTAAAGTAGTATAAATTGTATAATTGGACCCTTTTGGTAATCGTTCCATTTCTCCTCTCCGTTCCTTGTTTTCTTGCTTAGCCTTAAAAGAATCCCTTTTGTCGTCTTTAGAGTTGAACCCCTATTCCAATCGAACTTGGCTTTGGTATTCAGACAATTCTTTCATCTGCATATACTTTGTTGCCTGTCTTCTTAATTCATCTAAGTCAACATGTGGCTTTTTATATATGTTGTTGACAAAAGGTCTTGGTCTCAAGGCTGTTGTGAGATGATGCATTGCAATTGTCAGTTCCAAATTGTGGATTGAGATGCTTACTTTGCCAAAGCGCTTCATGAATGCTCTAAGTGTTTCCTTTTTTTCCTGACGAATGTTAACCAATGCTAGAGACATCAAAGGATGGGGGCGGCTTGCAGCAAACTGTAGATTGAACTGCTTGGCAAGCGTTGCAAACGAATCAATGGACAAGGGAGGTAGCTTGGTAAACCAATTGAGAGCTGGTCTGCGAAGGGAAGTAGGAACTATTCTACACCACAAAGCGTCGTTCTCTATATAAAGGCCGACCTGTGTTGTAAAGATATCTAAGTGTTTCTCAGGGTCAGATGTCCCATCATACTTTTCTAGTGTTAAACCCCTCCAATTCTTAGGTAGTTTAGCTTCTAAAATATGTTGAATAAAAGGACTTCAGCTTGAAACGCCGTCTCGTTCAAAAGAGAATTTGTTCGGTTGATATATATTTAACTTTTCCTGTAGCGCCAAGGACTCCCCTTGCTCTTGCACAATAGGGGTAGTTTGAGAGGGTATGTAAGTTGATTTTTTCTCTCAAGTTGGCATTCTTCTTTCATAAAGCCGACAATTCGAGAGCATCTATTCGACATTGTCCTCACACTCCCTGACCGTTGTCTCAGGAATATCTTCAGTAGTATTCAGCCTTGAAGAAATCTCTTCAAACCTTTCGGCATTCCCGAGGCTCCCAACCCCAGCATCAGTGGTCAGTCTCACATGATCTGACAGCAAATCCTCCCACTCAAGTGAATGGGCCATGATAATAGCAAGAAAAGAGAAAGGTAGAGGAAGAAACAATGTGTACCTTAAAGAGACAGAAGAAAGCAAAAAGAGTCTAAAACAAGATGACAAGTGTATACCCCTTCGGTTTAGAGCAGAAAGTGTGAAATGAAGCCTGGTCCACCACGTATTTATAGAGCACAAGGTTTCGGGCAGATGAAGCATCGCACCATGTTCTAACTGTTAGATCTTTTTCAAGATGAACAAATATGATCAACCAACCTTTCATTTCATGAGTTCGAACCTCGAGGAAAAACCCTAAAAAACTAAAACCCTAATTTGCTGAAAAACTTCAGTCTTAGAAATTTTCCAAACATGTATTCGGCCTCACCATCAACAAAAGGATTCTGAGTACCTACTCGGATTCATATTCAAAACCAAATAAGGAAGTAGTAAGCCTCTACACCATTCATTACATGCATTAAAGGGCATCACCAAACAAAAGACCTAACAAGTTTTGATAAACCCTTCAGACGTACCTCTTTGGGCTTAGGGACTAGTGTATTGAATAGGATACCAGTTGGTTTTAAAGATAAAAGAAGAAACATGAATACCCTTTCGGCCTCAGCAAGACGAGTATCCCATTGGTCAGATTAAAGAATAATTAAATCTATTAAGGTAAATAATTAAATCATTATTTACTTAATTATAGGGCTAAAATCAAGGCTGATTCACAAAGCCTATTAGCCCATAATATTGCCTATAAAAAAAATTTATTACCTAAACTGACATCTGACTTTATCATCGGAGTACCTTTTGTAGGTACACTCCCCTGCGTCAGACAAAGAAAGACTTGCAATATTCAGGAAGACGTCATCCCATCTCGCAGTAGGAGAATATTCTAAAGATCAATGTTTCCTTAATAGGAACACCTTACTTTCAAGGGGAAAAAAAGCCATACGAAGAAGCAACAAAGGAGCAAGTACTACATAATTCATTAAATATGAAGGATTTTTTTCAAGAGAACTCTACAAAATCTAGAATAATTCAACACAAATAGGCCTACAATAGATATCACGGACGAACAACTATTATCAGAAACTATTGCATATAAATAACTAGTAAAGTTTGTGTAGACTAGATTGATAAGTGTCTTTAGGGTATTAAGTAATTTTTTTTATTAAAAAACATTAAAAAAAAATATTTACTCCGATAACTTTCAATACATTTTAACATAATTTTCAATAAAAAAATCTTCAATATTATTTATTAATTTTTTAAACAATGTCCTTAATTAAAATAAGTTTTTATTTTATGAATATAATACATTTCTAATATATTATTAGTTATTGATTAATGTAACATCTTCAATTTTGTCTTTTGAAATAAATAAATTTATAACGGATAAATAAAAATAGACAAAAAAATATTTATTTTTATTCATGAATTTGAGAATTTCATAAAAATAAGACTTACACTCTTTTCTCATGAAAGTTTCATAAAATTCTAAAACGTTTAGCATTTTTCAAGAGAATGATCTGAAACTTTAAAGATAATAAATAAAATTTAAGTTTACATCTAGTCACTTATTTGGTTTATATTGAATATACGTAAATTTAGAATTTTTACTAAGAACATTTTTAAAATATTCATTACAATGAAATTGGCCCAAGTATCATAAATTCTAATATCTAATATTTAAAATCATTGCCAAATTTACTCATCACGAAATACAATTAAGATAAAATAATACAATTTTTCAAATGGTCCTAGTTCCTACAAAGCAATCTTTGTAACACCTTAAATTTAATTTCAATAAATAAGGAATTTCACAAATTTTTAAAATAATAAAATTTCTATTTTCAATCCAAGTTCATCAAACATTTTCAAATAAAGAAAGATGTTACAAATTATATCAACCAGTTGCTACAGGACTTATTCAAATACAATAGTTTTCAAAATGATATCCTAAGTCCCATAACAGTTCCATCCACCCCTTTACTGAGTCCGATGCTGATCGTCTTGATTACCTGAAAAATGAATGTAAGAATTAGTACTCTACACTACCCAAAAACACAAAATAAACGTAGAGTCTCACCTCCAGAACATTTCCAATACATTAAACAAATACAATCACACGCAACATTTCACATTCACAAGCACAATACACAAACGCGTGCATACGCACAATAGCTACACTCAATATAGCACTGTGATCACAGATTTACACCATGAATGGTTGCTGATTACCCCCACCTCACAGATACCACGTGGGCAGTCATGGGTCGCTCAGGAAAGATAGTGGTCAGGGGTCTAGTTAGGAAGAGAGTGTGTGACCTGTGGTGCACCCGTTCCACAGTCGGTGTCACCACCACTCCTTCTTCCCCAAGGTATTTCTACCATCCTCATCTCCCACATCCTTAGTGTATCGCTGAACCATTCACAACACTTTACAACAGCGCTAACATGCCCATTCACAAATATTTCATTCACGCATACAATAGTCATGCTTACAAACAGCACACAGCCCACATTGCATTCAAATACACGGCATTAGACCCACATTCATTTTACATTACACGGCACACAGCCAATATTTATCTATATTACACAGCCATCGGCGCACATTTGTTCACAATATACGGCACATAGCCTTCATTTATTCATAACAACATTATTTCACCAATCAAAGGCAATCCATCACACAATCACCCCCACGGGGTCTAACTATTCCAGCACACATCACATTACACACTAATTTCCATCAAACACAATTCCTACTCTCTATCTCAACCACATTGCATTAATCAACAATCACACAAGAATTATAATGCATTGAGATAGGGTAGAGTCCCCCTTACCTCGGATTGAAGACCCACATGCTAAATCCACCAAGAAGTGCTCCCCCTCACGGATTCGTCCTAAACACATGGAGAAATTTCATGAGAACCCAAGGAAACCACGAAAACAGAGAAAGGGGATGAAAAACCAAAACCCTAACCATTAAAACTCACCTCCAAGCGTCCCCCACACGAATTCAACCTTTAATCAAGCTCTCGAACGACTTTGGAGGCAATTAATCGGTGGAATAGGGCTTTGGGGAATGAGAGAATCGAAGGGAGAGGAAGAAATAACTCTCCCTGAACCCTAACTCCCTTTAAATCTTTTCTGGTCGCGACACTCTCGTTACAGCGAGGTCTCCTCGCTGCAGCGACACGCCCTCTCACTACAATGAAAAAATCAGAGAAAACTGCACTTTGGTTTCTGCAGAATCTTGCTACAGCGAGACTGCACCCAGAAATGCACCCCAAATTGTCGCTACAGCGAGACGTCTCTCGCTACAGCGAGAAGGCGACAATTTTGGTCAAGGCGACAATTCTGGTCCTTTCTCACAGGGCTCTCTCGCTACAGCGAGAATCCTCTCGCTACAGTGAGAACAACCAGTATCACGCCTTGTATTTAGGCACTTAGCCTATTTCAGCCCAACTAGTCATACATACACATATCCATGTACTTAATACACATAAAACATCATTTTCAAATAAATTAACACACATATGAATATATATATATATATATATATATATATATATATATATAAGAATAATAATAATACTAATTACCAAAATTCGGGGCGTTACAACTCTCCCTTCCTTTAAGGAATTTCGTCCCCGAAATTCAACCATACACACAAACTACAAAACAACCCCGGGTACAATTCTCTCATTCTACTCTCTGTTTTCCATGTGGCATCTCCCTCATCACTTGAGCTCCAAATCACCTTCACCAATGATATCTCTTGACTCCTCAGCTGTTTAACACGGTAGTCAGCAATCCTCATCGGGTATACATCATATGACAAGTCCTCTCTCACTTGAACCGGGTCAAGATCAATCACATGGGAAGGATCTGACACATATTGTCTAAGCTGCGACACATGGAACACCGGATGTAGATTCGAGAGATTCGGAGGCAACGCGATCCTATACACAGCTAGACCAATTCTACTCAGCACTTCGAACAGTCCAATAAACTTAGGAGACAACTTTTGAGATTTTAGAGCTCTCCCCACTTCGGTTACAGGTGAGACCTTCAGAAACACATGGTCCCTCACTTGGAACTCTAACTGTTTCCTCCTCTTATCATAGTAGCTCTTTTGCCTGTCTTGCGCAACCTTTATTTTATCTCTGATCATTCTGATTTGCTCATTCTGCCTTTAGGTCATATCCGGTGCACACAAAGTCGCATCTGCGGTTTCATACCAACACAACAGGGTCCTGCACCTCCGCCCATACAAAGCCTCAAACGTTGTCATTCCAATACTAGCATGATAACTGTTGTTGTACGTGAATTTCACTAATGGCAAGCACTCTTCCCAAATCCCCTACTGCTCAAGCACACAAGCCCTTAACAAGTCCTCCAGGGATTGGATAGTCCGTTCAGTCTGACCGTCAGTCTATGGGTGATAAGCTGAGCTCAGTCTCAGCTTAGTCCCCAACGCCCATTGCAGGCTCTCCCAAAACCTCGTAAACCTTGGATCTCTACCTGACACCACACTAGTCGGCACTCCATGCAGCCTGACTATCTCTCGCACATATAACTCCGCAAGTCTTTCCAACTTATACTTCATGTTGATCGGGAGAAAGTGTGTAGCCTTGGTCAATCGATCCATCATCACCCAGATGGCGTCATGGTCGTTCCTGGTCTTAGGAAACCCAGAAACAAAGTCCATGGAAATATTATCCCATTTCCACTCAGGGATCTCCAGCGGCTATAACAACCCAAGTGGATGCTGGTGCTCTACTTTCGCCTTCTGGCAAATTAGGCATTTAGCCACATATTCAGCCATGTCCCTCTTCATTCCATTCCACCAAAAACTCTTCTAAAGATTGATACATTTTAGTTGCACCGGAGTGAAAACTCATTCTGTTCTTATGGGCTTTCTCAAGCACCATCTGTCTCAGCTAATCCACTTGAGGAATGCACACTCGGTTCCGGAACTTGATCATCCCATTCTTATCACAATGGAACTCCAACTTTCCCTCGGCCTTCTACCTCATCATATCTTGCAGGAAAATATCTTCCTATTGAGCATCTCGGACGTACACTGGAAAGTCATTTCAAACATCTTTCAGAGATATTCTCACTGTAGCGACACGCCCTCACGCTGCAGTGAAAATCTCAGATGAAATTACATTCTGGTTTCTGTAGAATCTCGCTACAACGAGACCCTATTGCTATAACGAGACTGCACCCAGAAATGCACCCCAAACTATCGCTCTGTCGCTACAGCGAGAAAGCGACAGTTCTGATCCTTTCTCCTAGGGCACTCTCGCTACAGTGAGAATCCTCTCGCTACAGCGAGAACAGCCCAGTATCACGCCCTGCACTTAGGCACTTAGCCTATTTCAGCCCAACCAGTCATACATACACATATCCATGTACTTAATACACATAAAACATCATTTTCAAATAAATCAACACACATATGAATATTAAAAATATAAGAATAATAATAATACTAATTACCAAAATTTTGGGCGTTACAATCTTCCTTTCAATACCCTTGGATTATGATCTTAGGATGGACCCAATACCTTTATCTCTTCACTTTCATCACCTGAAAATATTAGTAAGAGTGAGTATATCCTGCCCCACTAAATCTCTTGTTAACATAAGCAAGATAATTACATGTTTATATATACAATGCTAGAAGTATAATTTAACATGGATTTGTATTAGAAATAACACTCATATCATCCAAATTGTCATCACAAGGAGCACACAGGACAAACAATCAATTATGTTCACTTCAAATCATGCATCTTTTTACTAATCTGCATGCTTTAATATATGTATTATACCACGTTAATCAATATGTCACAACATTGTGTCCTAATCGCATTCGTTGATGTATTACAACACATATATCATAACAACATCAACTGAAATGTTACAATGCATATATTATGACTATACAATTTCTATACCACTTCACACACATCACACTTTCACATTTATTTTAATTTCATATTCAATACCCCTGGGATTCCTTGAGGACTTCATAATTTAGATAGCCGCTGGTTAGCCGCAGCAACAAGGATACACGTGTGCCAACCCAGCCCCTTCTAGCAAAGGTATAGTTAAGAGTCTCCTCAGGAAATATGAGTGTGTGGCCTATAAATGCTTTCATTTTTAGCAAATCATTGTGCACTTATTCACACTTAGCATTCACTACCTTCATTTATCCAAGATTTTCTAAATCTTATTCGGACTCTATACCCCCAATTATAACTCTGTAGCTATCTAAACTCACCACCAACACTTCTCAATCCTTTCCACACCCTTTTATAGGGAAACATGTCATAATATATGAGTATTGATCAAATAATTTGGTGTATTACAATACATATGTTATGAGTACACCCTCGGGGTCGTACCACAATATTTGTATTGCAATCACATCCATTCATCTATTTTGACTCCCGTATTATAATCACTTTTTCTAGCATTTCATTTAATTCATTCACACGTGTGCTCATTGCACTTAGCCACGCTCACTGTGGCACCATGATCACATCACACAGAAAACATTTTCTTTATTTAAAAATAGTCAAACACTCATATCAATAACATGGTTTCACTTATTTGACATACCCAATTATCAAACAACATAAATATATCATGTTTCACAAATTATCATCAATTAGTCTCAACATGCCTCAAACATCACAACATTCAGCAATTCATGAAACCACTAACCAACTCATTCATTTACAATACTTTACCACTTTTTATTACAACCTAGTTCAACCAATATCTACATACCACAATCATCAATGAGCACTTGACACAGAAATCCTCAAATAGTTTATACATAACACAGATTAACATGCACATCTTCTCAATAATAATAATAAAGTCGCCTATCATAAGGTCTAGCATAATTCATTATTCCAAAAGTATCAAATAGCATATTCTGATCACACCTAACAATGTCTACTTAGTAAAATTCTAATGCTCCTCGAAGACCGTTTTATTTAAAGCCTTTATTACAATTTACATTTAGATAGTTATTAAGTAGTTAAGGATTTCCCATTTTGAACTACCCAAGAGAGGTTATGGTTTGGGATTTACTCCCACTTACCTTATAATGAAGACCCACCATGAAATCAACAGTAGAAACACCTCTCACACGGATTTTTGCCTTAAATACATGAAATAATCTATGAGAAATTAAGAGGGTTGAAGAAAAATAAAACCGAAAATCCTAACTTCAAATACTCACCTCCAAACGTTTCACACACGATTCTAATCTTCAATCTAGGGTACAAATGGCTTAAGGAGCGATTTGATTGATGAAAAAGGCTAAGGATTGAGAGAACTGACGAGAAAGAGAAGAGAGGAAAGTGGGAATACATTTTTCCTAACCTTAAACTCCTTAAATACACAAGGTGTCGCGACATTCTCGCTGCAGCGACACCCTCTCTCGCTACAGCTAAAATCTTAGAGAAAACTGCACTGTAATTTCTGCAGAATCTCACTACAGTGAGACTGCACCCAGAAATGCACCCCTTACTGTCGTTCTCTCGCTATAGCTAGAGACTTTAGCTACAGCAAGAACACCACTGCACTACACACTTAGCCAATTCCTCAAATCAACCAAAACCAATCACACAATTCAACATACATACATTCACATGAATAAAATAATATATATATATATATATATATATATCCTTATAAAAATTGGGACGTTACAATTAAAATATATATTAAAAATCACAAAAAAAATTGTGAGTTTTACTCTTACTCTTAATTTAATTGTTCTCTCATATTTTTATAATTTTCAATAAAAATTAACTAATAATTAATAATGCGTTCAAAAAAGTGTTTTAGATAATATGTTGCTTGCACTCTTCAAACAACAATATATAAACTTAATTGTTAGACATTTGGCAACCATTTTTTTCTTTTTTATATAGGAAATTAAAAAATATATTCTAGAATACAAGGTTAAAGCCCAACTTATTTATACTTGATATGCATCATATTTTAAAACCTAATTTGACCTTTTTAAAGGTATGACTTAGTCTATAGGTCAATTTAATATAGGTCAATTTAACTTATAATGTGATCTTTCAAATAAGTAAAAAACCTTACATTTAAATACTCTACAAAGTCTAAATATACATGCAAATAAGTGAACTTATGTATTTGAATAAAATAAATATGTATCTCAAAATATTTTATTATTTATTAGTATTCATTTATTTTTATTTAAAAGTTTGAATTTATTGATTTATATATAAGTTCAATACGACTAATCTATTTGAAGATAAGGTTTATTTATTTATTTATCTAAAAGACTTGTTTATAAATTTGTTTTGAGAGTATTTCGGATAGCTGAGAATAATGATGGAAAGCTGAAAGTGAAATTGTTAAGAAGAATTGAAATTTAAAACAATGAAACACGTTAATGCTCGTATACGATTTGTATCTTTAGTGAAAAAGAGATTATTGGTAGATGATCAAGTCATATAAGAAATTCTTGCTGATGAAGGATGTTTAAAACAAAAATGATACTGGCTTTGAAAAGAGGCTCCTTGCATATTGTTAACAAAAATAAGTTTAATTTATTCCTAAATGTTAGTTTATAAAAAAAAATTGTTCAAACTTTTACATGAAGTATTCTAACTCTATTATAAACAAATGTGTGATGTCTTGATAGACTCTCATGTTTAAGATTAAATATTTAATACATAAAATTTGTAAAAATTAAACATTTACATGTAATCTAATATTTAAATTAGATAAATTCTAATATCAGATTAGAAAATTCAACATAATTTACTTTAAAAGTTAATTTATAAGAGAGTTAAGTTTAATTTTTTTTATCGTTATTAAATTAATAAACTTGTAATTTCTTTTATGTTTTTTTTTGCGCCTTATATATATGACTATTAAAAGTAATAATTTAGAAAAAAAATTAACATTACATGATGATTAAGCATTAATAATTTTAAAATAAATAATTAATTATTATAAAAAATTGAGATTAGAATTAAACTAAAAATAAAAAAATTAAAGATGAAACAAAAACCTTAAATTTATTTTTGAATAATTTTTTATTAGAAATTATATTTTTTTATCTTTTAATTATCTTTTTCTTAAATTTTTTATATTTTTATTTTATTTTATTACGCATTATTTATATTCTAATAATTAAAACTCAAATATTCTTGATAATTAAAAATAATTTTTAAGAGACAGTATTTTTAAAAATTTAATTTGAAAACTCATTTTATGGGCGTTAATTGAGTTATTATTAAGCTGGACTCTAAGACATTGTCTTGTAGTCAAATCTTTGTCACGCTCGTCAACTTCTTTTTTCCATCTTTTGTTGTCATATTCTTCCATTTGATAACCAACCAATATTGATGCTTTGAACAAAAAGGGAGAGCCTCTGCTTTTAAAAAACAGTATCGTGCCTGTAAATACAATGCTTGTCTTTTTATTATTAAAGATTAATATAGCTTCTTATAAAAACGATATTTGAAATGACGTGAAAAAATTTATGACAGATTAAAAATATTTTTTATTTAAGTCTATTCTTAAAAAAATATTTTTTAATTTTCCCCATCTTAAAAAATAACCGCAGAAACATGTGAATGATATTGTCCCTGCAATCTAGACATTACTGGATTTGTTATGACGTCACTAATCCTGAAAATGAGCTTCGACTTGAATTTGTGTTTGTTCTCTTGGAATATGCAATGATATTGATATGGCACAATCGCACAGCTAAAAGCTTATCAAATTCCTTTTTTAATTTATTGTTTATGATTCAAACTCCTTACCATATTATATTATCTTACCAAAATGAAATTGACATGTCATACGAGTAGGAAGTTATTATTGATTGTCATGCATTTGCAAGAGAGGAAGGGAAAAAGAAAAAGTGGAAGCTAGTAGAGGGTTTGATTGTACTTTTTATTTTTAGTTTTAAAAAATATGTTGTAAAACAAATTTTAGAAACAGTTTCTTAACGAATGTAAAAGAGAGTAAATGGAGACAAAAAGATATAATCATGAATGGATGGACATGAATAATAAAAAGCTAAAAAAAAGCCTAAAGGTGTTTTAATTTTAAAGCTGAAAGAGTTGTTATTTAAAAATTACACTCAACAAATAAATAGTTTAATTTTTTTTATATATTTTTCAAAAACAATAAACAATAGGTGAATGACAGTGATCGCGCCATATCCATTTATCACTGCACAAGCAACTGTTTTATACAGCCAAATCCCTCACTTGCAATTCCATCTGCCGACAAAACAGAAACAAAGGAAAAAGTCAGTAACGTGTTATAGAATTTTTTAATATAGTTTTGAAGTTCCATGTCAATTGCCACATATACGGAAGTCTCAATTTGTCCAACATTTTTCATATGAAAACGAAATTATGACAATGTTACTCAAGTCAAAATGCTATATTTGTCCACACTTCAACATAAATAACATTAACGTTGATACTACCAAGTGGGTTACTCTTGTCATTTTAGTATTTGGCATATGGTCCCCCCTCTGCATTCCACCTCCTTTCTTCTTTTGTAGTCACCTTTTCTTTTTGTTTATTTCACACTTCCCTTCCACTCAATCCTAGAAGAATAACAAGTAATAAGATAGAGGTCAAGGAAGTTTTTTTTCTAGTGAATTCATTATTGGGGTTAAAAAATGTTAAATACTTACTTCTTATATATTGATTATGTATTTATTATATACTATTATTGTTATTATTTGAAGTTTAAGAAAAATAGTTGTTCTACTATATATTGGAATGTGAAGGATGTCTGAGGGTGAAACAAGTGTGATGCATATGAAAATCCTCATGATGAAACCTGAACACTTTAGCCAATTAAGAAAACAGATAAAGTATGCCTTGAATTCATAAATATAACTAAATTTAGTTTTTATTTCTTTAGAAATTGTTAGTTTCAATTTTAATAACTTTTGAATTTTTTTTTTAAATTCTTATCGCCATTCACTAGTGATATGACTAATGAATATATGTGATGTCATTAAAACGTGATTTAAGAGAAAATAAAATTTATGGGGACTAAAACTAACTTGTTAGATTTTTTAAAATTTATTTTGCAGATTGTCATTAATTATTTATTTAAATTACATAATTATAAAAGATAATAATAATATGTTATCATGATGGATATTATTTATTGGACATTTTGATGAGAATAGATTACGACGAATTGTTTCTCATTAGACATTTTAGCATGCACGTTGATTACTTGTTAAACTAAAATCACATGAACTACCAGGTTAGACTATGCATGCATCTGAAATTTAAATTATTGAACGCTATTTAATAAATATTAATTAGTTTTTGAACTAAAATCTCTACTGATGCAATCCTAATTGCGCACTTTTAAAATAATAATTCCACAGCGCAATGTTCTTATATATCCTTTTTCTAACATTTTTAATTAAAAATATTATTACATTTATCAAAAGTCTAGTCACAATAGTCCCAAAACTCCCATTACCTTTCATTTTTTCATTTTACGTGGGAAAAAGTAACATATGCACAAGTCTAAACCCTCATTATTACGATGTTACAAAAATAAGAAATCGTCATTACTAAGTATTGTAAGATGTCCTCTTTTCACGTTGTTTTATATATATATATATATAAAACAAAACAAATATTCTATTTGAATTCATTTTTCTTATTGCTTGATTTTTTTTTTTAATTAATTTTGATATTTGATTTTTAAACTATTTGAAATGCACTTTTCATGTTAATGATTTAGATTTATTTAAAATTATTTGACATGATATTTCATTATTCTTAATTAATGATGGAATATATATATATATATATATATATATATATTAAAATGTGAAATTTAAGAAATTTTTATAAAGCAACATAATTTTTAAGTGATTATGTAATTTTTTTTAAAAAAATTAATCTTTGTGTATGATTGTATGATATATATTTATTTCTCTCACTCTCATTAAAAATATTTGTTCTCATTAGATATATTTTTATTTTAAAAGAGTTAAATTATAAAATAATACTTTTTAATTATATATATATATATATATATATATATATATATATATAATTGAAAAGAAAATACTGTTTATAAGTGAAATTAATAATTTTTAACCCTAAACCAAGCACTTTGACCATGTAAATTATGACTTGTGGTAGCACCATGAAAACAGTCTATTTCGAAATGCACGTTATGTTCATATATGGTGGAAGTAAGGCAAAGATAAACTCCGTAGCTTGAAGAAAGGTTTAGGTACGTAAACCTGCAGAGGGAAGTGGGTTTCATGGTTTGCTTTAGAGAAAGAAATGGAAATGGAAATGGAGGTAAGAGTAAGAGAGTCACATGACATGCCATGCCATTACCAAAGGCAATGTGGACCAAACCTCCTTTGCTGTCGCTTCCAACCTTCTTCTTATTAATGAACAATGATTTTATATCATGCTGCGCATTGCATATTTGCATTGCAAGCCAAAAACTAGTCAGTTTCCATGAGCTGGCAATGTCGCTACTCTCTCTTTCTTTTTTGTAATTTCTTATTGGGTTTTGTTTGTTATCTTTACACAAAAACACCCAACAAACGCATTATGCCAAGATTTAACATTCCAATTGCCACTCCACCCGCTTTTGGAATCTAATGCGCCCTTTCTTCTTCTTATTCTCATCTCTCTCCTCCTCTTAGATCTGTAAAAGACTCTAGTATCACCAAGATCAGCTTAATAAATTATGTATTATTTGGTATAATAAACTATTTATTGATTCTTATAAATAAATAACGATATATCTTATCACACTAAATTTTACTTTACTCTGAATAAAGAACGATTAATTGATTTTAATAATGTGATAACGAGTAACATTGTCTCTGCATTTGCGCGGGCCAGAAAAAAATTAAGCAAAAAGTAATGAATCGAGAGAAAGACACGTGTGAAAAATGAACTTGCTTTTCTTAATAATAAATAAAAAAGTATAATTATTTATTTATATGAAATAATGCATAATTTAATGTTATTGCAGATTAAGATAAAACTCTTAAAGAATAATAAAAAAAATTATTTATGTTACTGCATTTAAATTTTATTCTTTTACTAGAGATGGATTTTCTGCCTTAACTCTTATTTTGAGGTTGATAAAAATTATTACCGACTAAATTATCTACTACTTATGAAAAAAGGTCTAAAAATATTGATATCAGGTTAATGAATTTCAATGACTGTAATTGTGATATATTACATGTTCTTTCTAAACAATAATGTTATTTTTAATATTTTATAAAGTAAGTATAAAATAGAATCAATATTTTCTAAACAATAGAAGAATTTGGTTCTTTAGCAGGCTGATATTGATGCAAGCCCATTGTTCCCGTGTTTCTGCGCTGCACTCCAAGAATACACAGCCAAGGCAGGACAATTTAGTATGTATACCGAACAAGTAGGGACATCTGTGTAAAATGACTCAGTCACGTGGGCCTGCTTTCTTTTTTTTTATTTTTTTGGTGACGAGTCATGTATAGCTTTAAGATTTTATTTTTTTCTTTCGTCCCTGTAACTGTAATTCTATTTTTTGTAGTACTACTTCCTTTGACGAATTAGGATTTCATATCACAAATGTTCTGTTTTTCAATTTCAATTCCCTTCTCGTGTTGCTTACTTCTTTGATCCTAGGTCTAATCATCAGAGCACTTCCGTTGACTTTACGGGGCACGATTTGGACTTTTATTTTTTTTTAAATCATTTATTTTAGTTAGTGCAAAACAATAAGAATTTAATTTAATATATCATTGGTAAAAAATTATGGTAATATTTATTAAACAATGTTAAGTATTTTAAATGGTAAGGAGTAAGAGTTTAGATTTGCATTTTACAATGTTGGTGTTTTTCCCACGGGTGATAATCAGTAAACACACACACCCACACACACAAAAACACTGCTTTCTGCTTTTGTTCTGGTGTCCCAGCGGTGGTGAGTCTCGAGTGGACCTCAACAACTCTAGAAAGAGAAACTTATCTTCTCTCTCTCGCTTTCTCTTTCTTCTCTTCTTGCATTCTTTGGCTGTAGAGTGGAGTGGAAGCAGAAATTGCAAAGAATAAGTTAGTTGAATCGAATCGAGCATGATCCCGAGCAGAATGCGGTAATGGGGGACTCTGATTCAGACAAGCAAAAGGCAAAGGCAAGCAGAGACGATGAAGATTGATGCCATCCACTGGGACTGGGTGATGTGGCCATCATTCAGCTCCACCAAATAACCGAACCGATTGTGAAATCCATTAATAATTTAGGGCTTTCAGCTCATCTTTTCAGGTATGAAATGCAAATGGGCAAAAGAAGCAGAACAATATTAGATTCTCCGTTCCTGGGTTTACCTTTTTCATATACTTCTAACGGTTGAAACCTTCAAAGCTGCTTTATTGTATTTATCCCGGGAAGGAGAATATTGCTCTTTATCCTATACCCTTTCCCTTACCCTTACCCTGCCCGTTATTACCAAAACGTGGCTCCAACTAACTCACAACTTTATTCTCCATGAAGCTTCCTATTCTGCTTCTGCTTCTGCTTCTGCATCTGTTTCTATGCCTTCCTCCTCGTGTCAGGGCTCAGCCGGCTACATCCAGGAGCCGAGCCAAGTCCCTTGACGCAATTCTCCAAGAATATGCTTACAGGGCTTTGGTGAAACCCAAAACAGGTACCATTTACAATGCGACTCAACTTCCTTCAAATTTGAGTGGGATTAAGGTTGCTGCACTGAGATTAAGGAGTGGCAGTATGAGGAGATACGGATTTCCAATGTACAACGAGTTTGAAATTCCCAAGTGGGTCATTGAGAAGCCATATGTTAAGAGGCTGGTTTTGGTGTACCAAAATTTGGGTGATTGGTCCATCAGGTACTACCCTTTGCCTAATTATACTTACCTCGCTCCTGTCCTGGGACTCCTCGCTTATAACGGTTCCAATTTGTCAGCAACAAATTTACTAACGCTCAATGTCACTGCCTATGGTGACCCTATCAAGGTCATGTTCCACGATGTTAAATCTGCTCCTCTAGGTGCCGTTGCAAAATGTGTTTGCTTTGATTTGCAGGGTTCCTCCAATTTCAGCAATGTAACAGGAGGCAACACATGTTCTACCTCAACACAGGGTCATTTCTCCATAGTGGCTCAGTCCATTGCTCCTCCTCCACCTGTACTACCGCCAATTGCTCAAAAGGAGAGCAATAGCAAGGTAGGGGTTATTGTGGGGTCTGTCCTGGGTGGACTCGTGTTGTTGGTGTTGTTGTGTTTACTGCTTTTGTGGTTGCTCAAGTACAAACGAAACAAGGAAATACAGAACATGGAAAGGGCTGCAGACGCTGGAGAAGCTCTTCATATGGCCTCTGTTGGGGACACAAAAGCACCTGCTGCCACTGTCACTCGAACACAACCTACCCTTGAACATGAATATGCCCCCTGACACCCTGTTTCTGCATAATCTTCTCCTGCTGTTCCACTCATGTCTGTATTCACAAATTCTTCCAAACACCTTTTTTCGGTGGTGTCCATTCCCCCTCTCTTGGTTCGTTAAGGTTATACCGGTGGTAATATAAGATTTTTGTGTAAATCTGTTTTGTCTTTCTTTATGATTCATTGTGGTGTGAATGTAGCAGCCCAGAGTGATTCTATATGTAATGAATTCAGTTGTTCCATTGAAAAGCAATAAAAATGTAGCTCCTACTTATGGGATTATTTTTACTATCCTCCCCGAGTTTTAAACCTTTTAACTTGTATCAACGTTGTCGACACACAAATGCCTATTGCCTCCCTCACCATTTCTCATCATCATGTTTATTTATTTATATATTGTATTTGTACCCCCATCATACTATTGCTCCTTTAAAAGGGTTCTTGGAAATTTAATGTGTGATTCTTTTGCCTCCTCTCCCTGCTTTTGTTGGCATTGTCTTGCTAATAGGATTTAGGTTGGATGCAGTATCTTAGGGTAAGTAATATATAATGTCTGTGCCGAAAAAAATACATAGAATAGATCAAGCGGAAAAGAAGGCAAATGGCTTAGAATTAAGTTATATAGAAAAGTATTCGAGTAATAACTACGGCTGTGTTCACTGTATGTTCCTAGCCTCCTAATTTGTTTTCAAGCAGACAAATGGGCAAAGTAATTAAAGAATAGCAGTAAATGTCAAGATCTGCTGCCGAGTGGTAGTCCTTGTAGCACATTAATCTTCATACTTTTTGATTGCAATAACTTCTTCTCCTCTCGCCTTCGAAAAAACCAAAAGGAAAGAAGGGGCTTCCTTGCCCAATGAATTATTAGTTGCGCATAAAAAAGTTTACTTGAACAAATAACACCATCCATTTTTTCCTTTCCTATTGTCTAGTTCATTCATTTAAATCAATGATAACAATACTGAGTAAGAAAAGAGTTTTACTATATCATCATGCATATTTTCTTAATGATTTTTCTGTTATTTTATAGAATAAGTATTAAATAAAAAAAAATGCATATACTTTTTATTTTAAAAACAAAAAATATTTAATAATTAGAAAGATTTATAGACATTCAGTAAAAGATTTTGAATTTTGGTGAGAAAAAGTCCGTGCGCACAAGGTAGGTACAAGAATGATCTCCCTTCCCCAATTGAATTCAAAAGGGTGAGAAAGCTTGACTTGTTATATGGGGTTTGGTTTTGAGTTTTAAAGGATCATACAAACGTATACTCAACAAATTTGATGTCGAAACCTGCATGCAATTGCTCCTATCACGGTATCTCCCTCCGTCACTTTATTTTCCATTACATGTTATTGTCATAAAACTTGAGACAGCGCATGACCAACGAATCCAAATCCAATTAATTTGCCAGGACTTCAAGCTGTGAACCCGTCAAGATTCCATCACTTAGCCTCCTTTCTTTGAAGTTTTTAACATAAACAGTAATATAATTTTGAAAAAGTCACAAGTCATCATTCAAAATTTCTAAAAATGTTGGAATTTTAAAATTAATTATTATAATTTCTTAAAACATTTTTATTACACATTATTTTTCTTCAAAAAGAAATACGCATGTGGACACAAACGAACAAATCCTTTATATTAATTTATTTACTACTTTTTGTCTGTCCTGATTTTAAGTGCGACGTCCTAAATCTTTGCATGCCACCTAAGGGCTTATTTGTATTGTTTGCGAAATAATCTCTTACCATTCACCATTCTTTGCTTTGAGATACATGCCTTAATCAATCTCAGCCATTGACCTACCGTTGAAAATCAGGTTCTGTTAGCTTAATTTCTTTTGCAAACATACACTAAACAAAAATGGAGACATATATGTACCTTGAATTGCTGAGTGACAAAAGCACCAAAAAACATATGAAACGTGTAGTTTATATCATGCACTAATTAGTTTAAAGGAGGAAGGGACTTTAATAAAGGAATAAAAAGAACTAGAGTCTTAATTAAGGAGAAAGAGAGAGAGAGAGAGTTTACTGTTGGTTTACAAATGAAGGAGAGGAGAGGAAAAAAAAAACTTTTTACATTTACAATAATGAAATAAAACTATTAAGTTAAAGATTTTTTAATCCAATTAATGTAAAAGTTCATCTCTTTCCTTTAAATCCTTTAGTCCCCCTCCAAATTTGAACTAAACAAGTAAAAAATTATAAAAATCTCTCTTTCTCTCTCCTACATTTACCGGTCGATACTTAAAATGTGTGTTTTATTAAGACCCATGCAAACGAAACAAAGAAGAGCAATGGGTGTAGATGGACTGATGAGATAAGATGACCGATGAAGGAATCACGTTCACAGCTCAGCACAACCTACCCCAAACAATCAGTTCGGGCATTTTAAAACTCAATTATTAATTTGTGTCTTCTTACAGAGCTAACATTAGTGATATTTACATCTATTCTTTGGTGCTTTCGAATCCTCAACTCTAGACAGCTCCCCAAATTGAATTGTCGACCCTTCTCCAAAGGCATGTGACGGAACAACACAACTATAATTTCCACCACAGTTCACGCCTTTTCACTTTTCGCCTACTCAATTGAGCAAACTTTGAAGTCACGTAGTATATGACAAAACTGCAAGCTTTCCGCCTAAAAACCAAACTGAATTTTTAGTGCATAATACTTCTTTTATTGTGTAACTTCAATCTTTTCGCCTAATGAAATGAAAAATTAATTATTCTTGCACACCCCAAAAATATGAAGAAAAGATAAACAAGAAGAGAGAGAAAAAGAAAATGTGATAGAGAAAAAGGAGATATGAAAATACGTAAGAATTGGATGCCCATCACATCTCATCATATGTACATTTAAAATGTAGAAAACGCTCTTGTTGGCTTTTGATGAATGTGCATTCACCAACAAAATAACGTGATTCTAAACAACACTGATAGACTTCACTTTTTCAAATATCAGGACAAGCAATTAGTCATACAGCAGCATTAAAGATGCTCTAAGACAAACTAGCACAACCTCAAACTGCAATGCAGCAACATTTCTGCCAGAAAATCTTGGATTGTATACCCATGATGTGAATTTGAGTTCAAGAAGTTTTGTTGAAAAGATATTAAAAACAGCGTACAATCATTCTCATTTCTTTCCAATTATTGGGAGTGCAGGCTGCCTTGTCTAATTATTCATCAACAATCAAACTCGAGATTTATACTGAAGCACAAAAATGCTTAAACACGTAAAGGGCAACAAATATTTCAAAGCCATCACAAGTCTATTTTGCCATGTTCCAGCGTGAAAAACCAATTAACTTTTTGGTTCTCACACCTAATGAACTAATTTTTTGGGTTGGGCTAGCTGAACGTGCTTAAGTCATAACAAGCTCATAGCTTTCCTTAAAGAAAAAGCTCCCAAACACATGCTTACTCCTCCATACATCTACAAATTAGCATACGAAGAATTTCTCCAACCTTGGAGGTCAAATAATGGATTGGGGAAACCACTCTTTTTTGTTTGCTCATCAAGGTTCCCACTTTACATTGTACTCTCTAAAAGAACATCAAAGTAGTACATACTAGCATTCAGTTTCAACTGATTTCACAATAATGCATAAACAAGGCGCCCTGATTAGACATCAATCCAATGAACAAAGGAATACAGTTTATTGCTAAACCATTTAACAGGGGGGGCGTGTAAATATAAAATATTTTAGGTGGAATGTTATCCTTGTGTTTTCTCTCTTATTTTTTTTTTTAAAATAAATTTATTTAATAATTAAAGTGTAATAAAAAAAGTATGCTAGAAATTGTTGCTTATTTTTTAAAAAATAAATTTAAAAAAATTAATGAGTAGTTTTATAACTTTCATAAATTATAGACTCTATTTATTTGTGATTTAGCGAATAGTGATATTAATTTTTTAATTTTTTAATATTAGTTTTTATATTTGAGTTTATATATTTAAAAATAAAATTTTTATTAATAAATTTTTATTATATTGAAAATAAAAAATATTGATAAATATTTGTTAATTAAAATTACTTTTAAATGTTTAAATTTAATTTTAAAAGCTGAAGTTAACAAAATTATTAATTTATTTACTTAAAAATAATTATAAGCATACTTTATTAAACATAGAAAAAATAGAGACTAAGAGCATGTTTGTTTCTTTTTTAAAAATAAAAAATTATCTTTTATAAACAGAAAACTATTTTTAAAAAGAAAAATAAACATGCTTTAAGTTTCATATTTGGTCTTTCTAATTTGAATTATTTGTAATTCTGTGATCTTTTAATTCTTTAGCTAATTAAACACTTTTACTTTTAAAATTTGTAAAAAATTAGATTTCTATGATTTTCTTTTGCTTACAATATTTACATTTTTTATCTTTTATTTAAAATTTTGAAAGATTAAATATAAAATAATTTTAAAAGTTTAAAAATAAAAACTTAATGAACAGTTGATAATATTTAAGATTTTAAGATGTGAGATTGGAGTTTGAAGAGAAAAACACTTTAAATTTGAGTGAAATTTACTATTTTAATTAAATAATTTAGTAGTAAACAATTTAACTAGTGCGATTTTTAAAATGTTAAATAAAAAATTAAAATTTAAAAGATTTAGATTAAAAAAAAAGTTGATGAAAATCTAACGGCCCGATTGGTTTAGCGGTGCAAACCTGCCTAATTGATTCTGACAACAAAAAGAATAATCACAATTTATAAAGCACGAAATTGAATGCACGTAATTTTTGGCTTTAGCAAGAATTGATTCTGAATTTTATTGAGAGTGGCACTAAATTTGTAGAATTAAAAAAAAAAGTTGAATTAACTAAAATATTAAGAAGAGATGAAAATTAGACATAATTTAAATAAACGCAAAAATGAAAACGTGTGAGGTGGTAGCACAGGTGGCAGCTCAGAAATCTCTGAGCTCTCAGATTCAAACACTCACTCACTCACTCAGCTTCTTTCTCTGTCAGGCTGTCACATTAGTTGTCGTAGGGTTTTGAAGGTTTTAGCTTCTTCTCACTCTTCACTTTCTTCGCAGATCGCTCCACCACTTATTTTCTCTCCTATTATCTTCTCACTTCTTCGGGTAAGAAATCTCTTCCCTCTCCCTCACTCTCAACTTGCTTTTCAAATCTTACATTTTGTATAACACGCACAGGATTTTGTAAATTGAATCACTCCAAAGTTCAAAGTAGCAAAATGGCAATGGCAGCACAAGCCATGGCTCACCTCCATTTTTCTCCTCACTCCGCTCACTACCATTACCATTACCATTACAATTACCATGCTACCCTTTCTTTTCCGTCGCCACGTCATCCCCGTAACCAAAGATTCCAGCTTTCCTTCTCCGGAGGCGACGGCGGCGGCGGCGGGGTTGGGCGAGGTTTCGGAGGAGGAGGAGGAGGGGGAGACTCGGATGGAGATGGCGTTGGATTTGGGGTTGTGGGTAAGCTTGTAAATGGATGGAGATCGAGGGTAGCCGCCGATCCACAATTCCCCTTCAAGGTTGTGATGGAAGAGTTGGTGGGTGTCAGTGCATGTGTTATGGGTGACATGGCCACTCGCCCCAACTTTGGTCTCAACGAGCTTGACTTCGTTTTCTCAACTCTCGTTGTTGGTTCCATTCTCAATTTCACGCTCATGTATCTCTTGGCACCCACATTGTCCTCTTCTTCCACACTCCCTGCAATGTTTGCCACTTGCCCCAGTAGCCACATGTTTGAACCGGGTCCTTATGCCATTCTGGAGCGTTGTGGGACTCTGGTGTACAAGGGAGGTGTGTTTGCTCTTGTTGGCTTCGCTGCTGGGCTGGTTGGAACTGCAATTTCTAATGGGTTGATCATGATGAGGAAGAGGATGGACCCCAATTTTGAGACCCCCAACAAGCCTCCCCCTACTCTTTTGAATGCTCTAACTTGGGCCGCTCACATGGGTGTCAGTAGCAATCTCAGATATCAGACTCTCAATGGTGTGGAGTTCCTTTTAGAGAAAAGTGTTCCTCCTTTGGTCTTCAAGTCCTCAGTGTTTGCCCTGAGACTGTTGAACAATGTTCTTGGAGGGATGACCTTTGTCATGTTGGCAAGGTTCACGGGCTCTCAGACTGTTGCCTCCTACCCCAAAGAAGATTTTCCCAAGTGATGGAATCAATCAATTCAATTTGATTAGTTGTACTGTTCTTAACTTAGGAGTGCTGTTCAAAATCTAGCATATGCTTGTTCCCCTTGGCCTGAGTTTAAAAGAACAATAACAAGCTTTGTTTATGTCAGATGCTTTAGTTTGTGATTTAGAACTGAAATATCATGATTACCATACACATCCCACAAAGGTAGAACTTCTGTTCTGTACTGATCCCGGACAACATTCCACTTTGTGATTTGTGCATCAACCCTTGACCAGGTGAACCCCCTACATCAACTACCACTTCATTTGTCCCTTCTCCATTATTTCCACGAATTTGACATCATTTTAGATTGCGTGATATTACCAACTCTTTGGGTTGTCCCCGAACTCTTTCAGTTGTTTGTGGAACTTAATTTGATGTGGACCTACATTACATTTAAAGCAAGCCAATCTTGTCTTGGACGACATCAAACTTCAATTATTATTTTGTGGAGTAACCGGAGACTACAATCAGCCACCAAGAACCAAGCTTTTTTCCAATATTTGTAGGGTATCAAACATCATAATTTACAATATACAATATCCAAATTTATATTAAAAATGCAAAAATTGAATGAAAAACCTATTGAACTGCTACAAGTGCTGTTTCTAATAAGCACGAGAAACAATTCACCAGCGGTAACCATATACCGTGCAATTATTTCATAAAATTTCCTGAACACAAGGGAAACACGTATCATTGCTCGCAAAATGTCTGGTTTAAAGTAGCTCCAATAAAACGTGGGGTTCTATTTTCAACAACTCTAATGAGGAAAAAATATTATCAGTTCTATATTAACAAGTAGGCATTTTAGACCGTGGCTGGTTACATTCTATATTACATGTGATTGGAACATTCACTTGAATCACTTGTATATCTACCCTGAACTCTTTTCCTCCTCCTAGAGGCCCACAAGGGCTGCCCCCAAACAAATGAGACCAAAAGAGGTAGCATGAAACTAACTAAAAGAATAATAATTATTCTGTGTGTGTATGCATTACAATCTTCTCTGCTTGGTATTCAATCCTCTGAAGAAACCTCCTCTTGAAATCACTTAGGATCTCTCCGAAGTTGAGCTGCGAGTTTTGGGAGACACAAACTGTAGAAATATATACTTATGTTGTAAGCACTTGACGATAGAGGATGCAGGAAATGCCACACAATTGTATTATCGGACAGCCTCTGGTGCAGAATTGCAGTAAGGTGTATACAAGCAAACCAATTTAGTGAACATTAGGCATAAAGTAGCAAACGCAATTCCAATAATGAGCCCGCAGGTGCTTTTCCGATTGTCCAAGCTAAGTGCTCTCTTAACTACATTTCCAAAACTCGGAATTAATCCACCACAAGCCAGAACCATTATGTGATCAAGACCACTATAATCAATACCAGCGAGAATAGATCCAATTGCTGATATTGGTCCCATAAATCCAACAAAGACAGCTGTTGCTAGAGAACCATGCCAGCTATCAGTGGCACCAAAGATGCAGCTAGCGACAGCAGCACCTCGAGGGAGCCCATGCAGAGAGACTGGAAGGACCATGTAACGACCTAGTCCATAAGCTTTTGATGCAGCTACTCCCAACGCAAGTCCTTCAGCCAAAGCATGTAAAGCGACTGCACCACATGATATGAATGATTGGAGGGTGTGAACACTCATTGGCAAGCCAGTTAGTGTAGGCAAGTCATTCACTGAGGTCTTTTTGCGACTTGCCACCTTCAATACCCCAGAGCTGGAAACATGGATGAAAGCAGCACCTGTTGCAAGGAGTAACATAATGGGAAAAAATCCCAGTTTTGAAGACAAAATAAGCTGCACTGGTCGCCAGGCACCAAGAACAAAAGCAATACCACATGCTATGCCCATGAGAAGAGCATGCTGAAGACGAAATGCAAGAGCAAATGCAACTAGAATAATCCCACCAAGTAATGGGCCAAGGCCAAAGAGTAATGAAACAAAGAAGCCAGAAGCATCCTCAGGGCTGCAACAAAAATAAAAATTATCTAGTGTAACTTCTGTGGTAGGATTGATGTGGAATACAAAAAGTTTTGTCATTATATAAAAATAAAAACTGATGCAAAATTTCTTGCCTTTAAAATTTAGCAACAAAATCAAACATGCTGAGAAATGATATTAATAATATTCATTCAAGTTATAAAACCGAGTAGTGCTACACGCCCATGAAAAGACAGCCAATATTTTGACAAAATTCAACTAGATTTAACGCCAGTTATTTGGATAAGATAGTGGTAGAGTCTACTCGTCCAATCAAGTGTCAATAAATATATCCATCTCATTACATTAAATATATTGGCAACAAAAAAATTTCAATCTAGCAAGCAGCATTTTCCCAACCGAACATAACATTACCCAGATGATTAAAAATAATATATAAACACACCTATAGATGGTTGAAATTATGAAAGAGGGTGCTGAGAGCTTCCATAAATGCTACCGAAAGTGTTGCTGCTGATGCAACCTGAGAAGCAGAGGCTTCCTGTATCCAAAAGCATAAGCAATTGAATTTGACATTATGTAGCTGAAAACAAGATACAGCAAAAGATCTATACACAGGTGTGGCCCAAAGAGCTGAAGTCTTACAAATCCATGAAAGAAACTACGAGATAAAACAACCAAGTAAGATATACTCCAACCACCCATTTTTGAAATTAAGATGTTGCCTTCCCTCTTCCAATATATTGTACTGTTCCCAAGTCAATCATTACTAATCAGAAGAGAGAACTACTTTGACTATTGTCATCCCCTGGGGAAATATACTGAAGCACCATTGACTTGTAGAAAGCAGAGTCACAGAAGTTTCCATAAACTTGGCGGCTTTTCAAATGCCAAATCATTTCCAAATGGAGGCTTATATTTTTCGCAACTTAATAGTACTGCTGCGTGTCATTTTCTTTTTTTAATTTGAAGGTTCAAATCAAATATGTTATACATTACTTTACCAGTTGTAGAAGTACTAAAAATAAAAAAATAAAATAAAGTAGTTGCTGAAAATGAACTTTAATTCCTTTAAAATGCCATGCAAGATGAAAGGAAAAAAAGGATTCAATTTTGTGAAAATTAAAGATACTATACGTACCTTGAATGCATCTGGAAGCACTTCTGCAACAACCATCCAGATCATGCATCCAGCAGCAAATCCCGTACAGAAAGGCAGGAACTTACTAAATGCATCAGCACAAATAAATGAAGGAACTGCTACAATTGGCTGCATTAACATTATGCATGACATGAGATGTTAGAGGCAGAGTTAAGAGAGTTCAAGCACAAGTTTTAAAAAAAATATAATAATAATAGAAAAAAGCAAAGAATTATTATCCTAGAGATTTAATTTTCTTCTGTTGAATTCAACAAAATAAAGCACACTACTAAAAGTTTTCTACAGCACTTAGACAATTATAATATTTAAATTTTTCGTATTAATGGACATATTGATAGTAGTAGTGAAAAACACTAACTTGTTAGAAGCCCCTTAAGGCATAAAGTGACAGGCCATGCAACTTGACTGCAAAGCACAAGCAATTTTACAAAGGACGTGATTCCATTTTAAACAAGAACATTTAGATAATTTCAAGCTATCCCCTGCAAATCCTTGACATGGTCTATGTGATAACATTAGAAACAGATTAGTACTTTTAGATAGGATAAAAATAGCCAAAAGTGAGACACTTGACTATGTGTTTAGTGTTATTTATCAATACAAAAGGACTGAATTGGTAAAAAGCAAATAAACCATAGAATCAAATAGCCAAATCACTTAATAGATTACACCTCACTTGAGTCAGACTAAAGCCTTCCCAAATACTGTACATACAACATTCAAGACCTAACCAAACACACTCTTATGGGGAGAATTCTAACATGCTGTATGTCAATTGCAGAAAACAAAACTTAGACTTTTAACAACAGACTGATGAGGTTAAAGATCTACTAATAAAATTTAAGAAAGGAATCTCTTCAAGGGTCAAACTATCGTCCTGGCTGATTTAGAATACTTTCTCCTTCACAATGTATAGATAATTCAACTTTGAAATTAACAAGTACCTGAGGTAAAGATGTAATAATGCTCCATAACATAGCATTCTGAGGGGAGACACCCCTTGATGCCAACACCATACTCACAGCCAACCCCTCTGGAACATTGTGTACAGCAATAGCCAACGTTACCAATAGTCCTTGAGAGAAACCCTTTGAACCAGCAAAGGAGACCCCAACCCCAGATCCCTCCCCAAAAGAATGGAGAGTCATTATTCCAATTACAAGAACAACTTTGGCTGCATCAGCACCCTTTATATCCAACATGCTTACTTCTCCATATTGCTCAAGAAACTGAAATCCAACAGGTTATGCAAGACACAAATGAGACCATAATAAACCTACTTATTATATAACAAGAAATTATTGTCTCAACAAAATTGTTACAACCCTTAAAGTAGATTGGTAGCAAAATTCACTTAAAATTGCTAATGATGGTTTCTAACCAGAGAAGTGAATATGCAACCCTTTTCAAGATTTGAAATTGCAAAAAATATGAAAATTCCACTGGGGTGGTCTAATTGTTATCCTAAGAAAACAGTACAGTATAAGCAAAGGACTAGAACATAATCTATACGATCAAAGTGTATAATGAATGAATGATTTAGATTGTTTTTCACCAGGCTGTGCAACAAGAAGGAGAAAGATAGTGGTACCTTACCTTCTTACATAACCAAATAAAGATGGCACCAGCTAGAATCCCACAAACAACCCAATTTCCAGCACCATAATCCTGGCCTTCTTGTATGAGATCAAAGCTTGCAGCCAACATGACACCAGCTGCCATTCCATTGCATAACCCTGCCCATTGTGGATCAAGCTCCACAAAGAAGAAGGGCACAGCACCTAAACCAGTGGCAGCTGCCATTGCCAATGTAAACAATGCAACCGTGGAAACCGAAACTCTACTGATTGCACCCTTTCTGTTATTGGTTTCCTCAAACTCCACACCATTGCCATCAATTTCAATTACATTCTTATGTGTAACAGCTCTGAGCTTTTGGTCAATTTCAGCTTTAGAATGTGAAATAGCGAAGGAAAGAGCCGTTAGCAGTAACAAGAAGAATGGAACACACAACTTGGGCCTCAGATTCGGAATCATGTTGTGTTAGATAAACCTGCCACCCACCCTAGAGGCCCCAAATCGAATTTCGCACTATTTATACAGCTCCATAACAAAGAACTGAGGTTTAAATTAAAATATAGAAAGAATGATGCAGGTATTAACATCTATTGAATGAAAGAAATAATGGGAATGGCAATTCACGTTGGAAAATACACATGATACCCCCCAAATTTGACATTATATGATATATCAATTCATCATCTTGAAAAATAAAAAGGAACTGATCTTCGAAATCAGAATTCAAATAGGATTGATTATTGTAATGCCTAATTGGTGATTGCGGGCTGGGGATGACGACAAAAACAAAATGGAAAGGACAAGACTTGATTCAAAGCCCTAGTGCCAGTTCAATGGAATATGAATCAGAATAAGGAAGGAGAATATCTCTTTCTTTTCTCACTGTAATAGATTAATTAATTAATTAAACAAATGATATGATAACGCCACGATAATAAAACAACACCTTCACACACCTGTTGCACTACTTTAACGTGTGTCTAAGTATATGTGATAAAAAAAATTAATAAATAATAATTTGTATTAAAAATTATAGGACTTAATAATATAAATTTATTAACTTATAAATTTTAATAAAATTTTATACTTTTTAATGTATATTTAAGAATATAAAAAATACGTATAATAATTTTTATTAAATATTATATGATATTATAGAATTTAGTAATATTACATATTGAAATTTAAAAATTTTAATAAATAAAAATATTTAATTATAGATTTTAATATTTAATATTATTAATGTCTTAAATTTTGTAATATTTTATGAGTTTTAATGAAAAATTATTACTTATAAACTCTTATTTTTTAAATACACACTAATTTAAATTTTCTATAGCAAACAAATAATTAATTTATTAAAATTAATAAAAATAGTCATACATCATTAATTTATATTATATTTCAAATATATTTATTGTACTAAATAGTAAAATTAATGATTATATATTACATTAATAAATATAGAATAATAAGTAATGACAAATTAATATAAATTTTATGAAAAATAAGTTATTTAAAAATAGGTCTTAATTTCTTATAATTAAGATAGAAATATTTAAAAAATTCATATTAAAAGAAGTAACAATAACATAATTAGAAGAGATTCACTTGCTATAAGAGTAAGTCTTGATTAACTTATTTTGTTTAATAATTTTTTATAAACATTAAAATATATTTATTCAATCTTAATTTAAGAGGTTAAATTTTTATTTATTAAATTATTAATTTTTTTAAAGATGATAAAAGAATAATTGATGTTATTAACAAAATAAAGTTAAAGATATCATTTTTATTTTTATTTTTTTTACTTATCAGGACACTAAGGCTCAAGAAAATTAGTCAACAAGACGAGAGAAAGCAAGACCATAGGCCTCCTCCCTAAGAAATGGAACAAGAGTAGGAGGGGGAGATACAATGGGATGAAATCCTAAACTATGATTATGAGCAATACTAGCAAGATGATCTGTACTCCGATTTGCTTCTATAAAGATATGAAAAATGCCAACTATATTGGGCATCTTGGCAAGATCACGAATGTCTCTAACAAGAGGAAAACAACTATGGGAGGTGTCACAACCGAACCTGGCAAGATGCACCGCTATTTAGGAATCCATCTCAATCACAACACATTGGAGATTGCGAGCCTTGATAAGTTTGAGGCCTTCAAGTAAGCTCCAAAGTTTTGCTTTAATTGCAGAGCTGGTACTGATCTTGCAAACAAACCCATACACAAAGCTATCTTGATCATCATGAATAACTTCTCCACAAGTGGCTTCAAGAGGAAAACTAAAGACTGAACTATCAATATTAAGCTTTAAGAGGTCGGTAGTGGAGAGACTCCAAGAGATAAGGGTCTCAGATTTGGAGGATCTGTTCAAGATCCTTTTAGAAGAACTATTGAGAGGATGGCTCAACCTTGCATAGTCTATTGATTGATGAATGATGTTCTGGGGGACAGAAGGAGAATACTTGAATATGCGATCGTTCTTAGCATTCCAAAGCTGCCAAGCAATCATGCAGAATAGCATGCTCCAGTGCGATTCTTGCGTTTTGATGCTCCCATTGATATTAGCTTTTAGCCAATCATGAAGTCCAAGGCTAAAGAATGACACCAAAGAATCCTGCAAAACAAAATAGGACCAAACAATATTAGCAAGGGAGCAGTCCTGAAGAACATGCATTACCGTCTCGATGGCATCATGACAATAGTCGCAACTATCATTGTCAGAAAAGTGACGCTTCTTCCTCTTCTCATAGCAAGGAGCTAGCCATGGGCTACTTTCCAAAGGAAAGTCTTGATCTTCTGAGGGTCTTCCCAATCCCAAATATTATTGAAGATATTATTGAGGGCACTATATTCCTTGAAGCCTAGAAAGGAATTGTAAGCAGACTTAAAAGAGAATTACCCATTACTTGTAAGGGACCAAGAAGGGAAGTCTTTGCCTTTAGAGGGATGTGGCACAGGATAGTTAGCAATCAAAGATATAGTGTCTAAATTAACATGCTGACCCATAAGATTCCAATTCCAAGAATCATTGAGAACATAAGTTGCAATAGGAATATCCCGCATATCATAGGAAATATCTATAAGAGCCAAGTCTTCTAGGGTGAGATCATTAGTAACCCATTTATTAGACCAGAATTTTGTAGTTTGACCATCCCCAATGTTTCACTTAACATTAGAAATCATATAAGGCCAAGCCTTACATATCCCTCTCTAGGTAGGTGAAGCATTTTGAACCTCTCGGACATAAGGATCATAACTAAATCTGCATTTGTATTTATGCCGAAAGACCATAGTCTAAAGAGAGTCAGGATTAGTGATAATCCTCCAACCTAACTTCATCATAGATACCAAATTAACATCTCTAAGCTTTCTGAAGCTAAGTCTACCCTTATCCTTGGGGGAGCAGATGGTATCTCAAGATATAAGATGACACTTTCTCTTCTCATCCATTGAGCCCCATATGAAATTTTGACACAACTTATCCACTTCATCACAAATGCGAAGAGGAATTAGGTGAGTTTACATGACATACACCAAGATTCTAGAGATGAAAGATTGAGCGAGAGTGATATGACCAGCCATAGACAGTGAATGGATTTTTCAATTAGAGAGTTTTTTTTCCAGATCTTGTCTAGGATAAAAGAGTAGGCATGCTTATTGGGACAACCCATATGGATAGGAGTCCTTAGGTAGGTACCTAACTTTGTACTAATAGTAAAACCAAGCTGACTACCAAGAGAATGGGCCATATAATTGTTGACATTTGGGGAGAAAACCACTTTAGACTTATTATTGCTCACAGAGAGGCCAAAAGCCAGACTGAAATTATCAATGATAGACTTTACAAGCTGAACTTAGTCTTTAGATGCCTTTGATATAGGAATGATGTTATCTGCAAAGAAAATATGAGATAAGTGAAGACCATTTTTACCAAAAAATAGGGATCTCCGGTTATTATTAGAAATAGCAAAAGTAATAGCATGTGCAAGACGCTCAAGGCACAAAATAAATAAGTAAGGTGAGAGAGGGTCTCCTTGACAAAGCCCCCTAGAAGGGGTGAAAGTCTCAGAGGTGTCTCCATTCCAATTAAGAGCAAAAGAAGAGGAAGTGATGCAGCTCATAACCATATCAGAGAAAAATTCTCCAAGACCGGCTTTGATAAGGGTATCTTAGACAAAGTCTCATCTTAACTTGTCATAGGCCTTTTCAAGATCAAGTTTAAGAACCATATATCCCTTGTGTCCTTTAAGAGAGCACATACTATGAATAGCTTCCTGAAAAGTGATGATATTATCTATGCCTCGCCTCTCGAGGACAAAGCTACTTTGGTTAGGAGAAACCAGCTCTGGCATAAGATGTTTTAGTCTTTGAGTGAGAAATTTGGTGATGATTTTGTAGCTCACATTGCATAAAGAGATGTGCCTAAAGTTACTGATATGTTCAGGAGTGTCCACCTTCGGAATAAGGGTAATTAGGGTATGATTGACCTCTTTAATTTGAGATGGAGCAACAAAGATATTTTGAACAAAGCCTGTGATCATAGGATGAAGATGTTCCCATTGAAATTTGAAGAATAGAGCATGTAGATCATCAGGACCCGGAGACTTGTAGCTCCCCATACTGAAAAGAGATGCTTGAATCTCATTAAGACTTGCTATAACATGTAGTGTTTGAATAAGCGAAGCCTCAACCTGTGGAAACAGGTTAGGAGCATCAAGCATAACAGATAAATCATTATTAAGAGTAAAGAGATTCTTATAAAAGTTAACTTCCATGTTTATCAAAGAAGTTTGATCATAAACCCACTCCTCCTGATCATTCAGCAGGCATTCTATCCTCTTTTTTTGTCTTCTGATTATAGCAGACTGGTAGAAAAATTTGTTGTTTCGGTCTCCAAACTTGAACTATTTACTGCGACATTGATGGTATCAATAGGCTTCTTCTTGACTAATAAGAAATATAATTGCAGTTACTATTGTTACAAAAAGAAATACTAATGAAAAGTATTTAATTCTTTCATATTCAGTATTAATATTACCTTTTAAAATTTACATAAACAAGTTCTTTTAACTCTTTATTTTGCAATGACTATCAATAAGAGTTAAGAACAAACACTTTCTAATGTTAGTCTTTAGTTATCAAGCCCAATGTTGTCTCATGGTCAATTATATATTATTGTTTCAAGAGTGAAAAAAAAAAAAAAAGATTAAAAATATTGATTTAGATAAAGATGAGAAGCCATCACACTTTACATCAAATGTAGTATTCAAAAAAAAATTTGAGAAGATATAAACAAATTTATAGTTATTACTTAATCTTATTTAAATTTTATTTACTAAGTTTGTTATATATTTATTTGACAAAAGATCTAACATACAAATATATATTTTGTACAGAAATTAATTAGAATCCATTAATTATTGTCTTAATTATTAAATGCATATGATTATAATATTTAAATATGTGATTGGTCTATATAAATATGGCGCATTTTGTGATAAGTTCTTACAAATTATTTTTGTTAGAATTTAGTTCTTTGAATGTTAAGAAGTTAGGATTTAATCCATCCGGTCAATTCTGCTCGATTAAATGTTAAGTTAGCTAACAGAAAGTTAACTTAGTATTTTCATGTGACATACCATATTATTTAATATTTTATTATTTAAAATTAATATTTTTATATAAATTTATAAATATATTTTAAATATTTGCGAATAATTAGTCTCTTGTTTTTTTTTCCTTCCCCTTCTCTATTGCCCCAACCTTAATCCCATCCCACCTCCATCCCCTCCTCCATTCCACAACTTGCTTTGGCTCAAATCCCTCTAGTATTTTTACAACAAACTTAGTCACAGCCAAATCAAATAAATTAATTAATCAAATTAAAATAAAATAAATGAGTTAACTAATTTATTAATCAATTATTTTTCTCAAAAATAGTGATTTTAGCAAAGTTACCTTGTGGGCTTTCCATGAGTGTAAACATCATTATAAGATCATATTTTCTTGTTGTAGTATTCTTGATCAATATAAACTGCAGCTTTTGCAACAACTAAAGAAGAGTCCAACTCCTACTCTCAACTTGGTAACATTGGGGTTGGGGGTGTTGCATGGGGTATTAGGGAAAGGAAAGAGAAACGCGAAGAGACTTGTTTGTAAATATTTAATATATTTAAGAATTTATTTGTAAATATTAAATTTAAATATTAAAAAAATTAAAAATATGGCATGTCACAGGTAAGTACTTAGTTGACTTTTTATTAACTAACTTTGTACTTAACAAAAAAGAGTTGACAGTAAGACTAAATTTTAACAAAAAAATTTATAAGAACTTATCACAAAATATGTTATATTTATAAAGACCAAATATATATTTAAACCTTTATAATATATACTTAATTTTTATGATTTAAATATCATTCTCATTATATTTAGCTCAATAATAATAAATAGTATATATATATATATATATATATATATATATATTTGAAATATATTTTTTATTATAAATATTTGCACAAGATGACATTAATACTTATAAATAATTTTTTATTTTTAATTATCATGTATTTGATTACAAAATTTCATGTTAAAATATTTTTGTATTTGTATCCACTATTATAACACAAATTTAATAAGTGATAATTATAACTGCTTCTTGTAAAAAAAAATTTATTAGAAGTGATTTAATAAAAAGATTTATTTAATTATATGTTGTTTCAATAGTAAGAAAGAAACAACGATAAAATATTAATTTTATATTAAGATTATAATTTATTATATTTTAAATCTAATTTAGTTTTCAAAGAAATTTGTGACAAGGTATAACAAAATGTTTAAATATTGTTTAATTATATTTCAATTTTGTTTACTAAATTTATAATATATTTATCTAACAAAATATATATTTTATAAATATACATTTTACAAAAAAAATTAAAAACTATTAATTATTACATTATATATTAAATTTATCTAATTTAAAATATTAAAAAATCATAGTTGATTTAAATATTATCCAAATTGCATTTATTTGAATAGTAAAAAATAATTCATATATTTATAGTATTAATATATATATATATATATATATATATATATATATTAACAATAAAGATATAACTAAGTTGACATTGATTATCATAATAATTTTTTAGACTAACCGTCAATTCTCTTACAAAAGTTTATATTAAATAATATTTATAATTGTATCTACTATTATAAAACAAGTATAATAAATAATTATCGTAAAGATTTGTCGCAAACAAAAGCATCATTGGAATTGATTGAATGAAATTTTTTATCTAATATTTAACTTTAATTTAACGTGAAAATTTTAATGTGTCATATTAAATCATTTTTTAAAATTTAATCTGCACAAAATAATTTATTCATTTAAAATTTAGATAACTTGAATTTATTTTATATTTTCTTAAAAATAATATATTTTTAAAAAATAATATTAAATATTATCTTATGCAATACACGGTGGAAAACACTAAGTATATATATAAACCCAAGTCACAACATTTAATTATTTTCAAATTAAAAGTGTTGTTGATCATTTATTTTGATCGTATACTTGCGTTTTATCTTCTCGTGCATTCATAATATAATATATGTACACGCCCACAAAGATACATTACGCAAGTTTCTTTTTTCTCTCCCTCTCTCTTTTTTTGGTGGAAAGATATATTAAATAAGGTGGTCTTGGTTGATTATGTTAATCTTGAACATCTGAAGGATTAATACGGTGATAATAGCATGAACTAAAATGATCCAAAAGCATCGTTTTCTTGAGCACAAGACGAAATGAAATTAGCTAGCTGCTTATGGTTGACCATTGTAGGTTGGTAAATAGATGGATCAAGAAATGAAATACATGGGATTGGGGAGCTTGAAAGTGCGATTGCCCAAACACTCTCCTTGGAGATCACTCCACTGATCTCCCACATTTCCCCATATCCTGTAGCCTTGTCCTTCTATCTCCTTTCGAATCACTGACTTGTATCTCACTGCACTTTGCCCTTTGTACTGAGCAGTCCTACATATATCCACAACCAATTGTTAACACGTACCCATGATTAACTAGCCTTGGCATACATAATTGACCCAAGTCATTTCACAAGTAATACTCTTCATTAACCAATGATTTAACATTAAGAGCTGGTTAAACGAGACTTTTCCAATCACAAGACCAAAAGTAAATTGTCTGTGTCGTTTGGCTAACGTTGTCTGCCACGCCATACCAAGACGAAAAGTAAATAAAGGGGAAGCTTTCAAAATGTTTCTTTCTTCATTTTGCATGCACGGACGTTGACTTGGACAACATACGGAAGCAGGCCAAGTTTGGCATTGTCATGTCAGCATGGCGGTGTAGACTTTGTAAGTACAATCATAAGTTCAAAAAGAATGAAAAATAGTTGACTGACTGAGTCTATTGCCTTTTTTTTTCTACATTCAGACAGGAATTTCATAACAAACGGTCAAAATCCAATAATAATCTATAGTATAAAAGCTTAGGAATGTTAATATGCTAATCGACTCATTTCCAACACATTAATTTGCTCATTTCTACCCAATTACTAACTATAATAGTCAATTATATATAACTAGTCGTGTTACAAAAAGTGAAAAACAGATGTTATGATTTAAAGTTTTAATTTTTTTTAAGTGAAAAAAGACCGTGATATTGCTAGTATGACATCATCCAGTGTTACGTCTTGGCACCAGACCAGATACGATTTTTGAAGAGTACTTACCCTTCCTAAAACTCTTTCGAATTTGAGGAGCGAATTAGCATGGAGGTCATGCTCCCAAAAAAAATGTACTTCATTTGGTCATGTGGAAAGAAATAGAAAAGGAAAACAAAAATACTATGAGACCAACATTATATAATCTCTCCAATTTGAAGAAAAGAAGGTGACAAAAGGAAGAGATTTTGTAACAATTACTAAAATATATTTATTTTACTTTAGTTTTATCATATAACATAATTATATTTTGCATTCAATTAAATAAGTAAAAAGAGAGTTTGATTTTTAATTTCTGTCTTAGTTTTCTTATTTTAAGTAACTTAGAAATCCATCCATTTTCTACTCATTTTCTCTTCTCTTCTATCCTTTATCCTATTTCTTTTCACAACTAAACAAAAAGGAAACGAAGATCCTAAGAGTAAATTTCTCAGCGAGAATAATTAAAAACTTTCCTAATTAAATATTATAATAAATTTTTAATTATTGTAAATAAATATTCATTATTTAATCTATTGTTATTAATTTATTTTTATTTACTAAAAGAAATGCTAGAAAGAAAATTTAAAGTGATGATAGGACAACGGTCATTCCATGAAAGGAAAAATGATAAGCAAGGTAAATTCACACAAGATGCAATTCTCTATTTAGTTCTATTTTTATATATAAAAAGAGATGTTAGGAGTTCTTACATATATAACCAAAAAATAAGCAAACCTGTTTTTATCAAAAGAGTTTGGAGTATAATAAATGAAAAGGCATGCTTATTTCCATGGTAAAAAGAAAAAGCATAGTTCCAAATTCACAAAATACGATCCTAAAAATGGTGGGTGGGGCATTCAAGATAGCAGCGTACGCAGTGAAACACAGATATTCATTTCAATATATCTACCTTATTTTCCTACCTAATGACATATCATGCACATGGAATTGATGTAATATCTTCGTGACATCACGAGTGATCGTAACATGTTTGGTTCATTTTTAACTAACCATAAAATAAATTTTTATTCATTTGCGGAAGCACAAGTTGTGCAATTTCTTACGCAAGAAGTTTTTAAAATTCAAAATCGCATTCTCATTTTAAGGAGTGTGGTTGCTATATCTAATCACACACTTTCTAAGTGCCCATTGCCACGATATGACTATGCAATTCACTAATTAAATCAAAGATTAAATAAGATGGAAGTTGGCAATTGTGGGATTCGCATAAAAGTCATCCAATATAACAAGAATTTAGGTAGAAAAATTGCATATGGAAATGCATGATTTCAGCACATATTTTCCATATCCTTTTTATCTTTAATTCTGGGACAAGATTGCATTATCGGAGGAAGTTTCCTGTATCCACTAAACAGTTAAATAATAGAAAATGCAGGCACAGCAAATGCCATTTGGACAACGGACTTTGTCATACTTATACTGCGACCCTGTCCTATCAACTTCTAATCAACCAAGTCACTAATCCCTATCTTGCTATAAAATTAAAATGGATGTCGGTAATTTTCATATATTTTTATCCTTAAATTAACTGTGTGCAGTCAATTACATAAACTCTTTTTTCTTTCAATGAAAAATTAGAGGTGATTTATTTTTAAATTCAGTATATCAATATTATAATATATGCTAGATTTTACTTATTTCAAAACAAGCTTATTTGGCTGTGTCATTTTCAAGTCCATACGCAGATAATTAGATACCTAACTCCACCTGTTTTCAGTTGGCGACTTCGCGTGCGTGCATTATACTATTATGAACAAACACGCGGATGAGTTAAACCAGAAATTTGAGTTTAAAAATTTGGAAATTATTTTCCTTTAATGAAAGTGGTAATGGCATGCATGTGGTGGAAGTTTGACCGAAGGACATAAAATAATGAGTGGATAGAGACGAACAGAGCAGTGGTTCTAGGAAGCTACGCAAGGTCAACACATAATTGGAATCCCCTTCACACCATCAATTACGCCACCTGTTTTGTCCTATGTCTGTGGTGATTACCAATGTCACATTTATGCGTTTTACTTGTACACGATGAATATATTTTATTAATTAGCGTATATTCCTATTTCTAGATAGTTTTATCTGTTCGTGTTTGAAGCGTGTGAAATTGCTACTTATTTGTCCTAACTAGTTCAGGTTTTTCTTCTTTCCGGCGGAGGAGTCTCTATCTACCCAATTAAGTCGATATAGCAATAGCATGAAATAAAAGAAAGTTGGGTGGTTTGTAAGCAATTTATGTGTGTTTAATTACCTCATGATAAGACGTTCGTAGCCGATGAATCCCTGGGTATGCAAGTTGTCAGTGGTGATTTTGCCGAGTGTTGCTGCGTCTCTACCAGTTAGCAAAAACACTTTGAATCCTCTCTCTTTCAACGCATTAAACAATCCAAGAACCACAGGATTTGCGGGGCACATTCCCTTCATGATCCATGCCTTGAAGATGGTGGAGTCAAAGGGGTCGCACCTGCACATGGGGCATTTTAATTAGAATAAAAAATAATATTATATATTAAAGAATAAATAGTAAGAGTATGAATACCCAAATCGCTTGGCCTGGTAATAAGAAATGTTAGAGATGCAAGTGTCGTCAACGTCCAAGATCCAGGCATCGAAGCCATCGTGAGAGAGGGGTATGTCAGAGGCGTAGAAGAGAATATGGTCGACGATGAGTTTGAGGTCGTGATGGTATTGGCCACCAGACATGTAGTTGTGGATGTGGTTGAAGCACTGAGGAGGGACCGTTCGCCATGGACGCACATTGTTTGCCTCTACGGCTAACCTCCAACTGAGGCCGTACCTTTCGTTATCCTCCTCGGATTCGGACGCAGGACTCTGTTTGGGGTTCCCAATCATGGTCATAAGCTTATTCACTAACAAGGCTAACAAATAGGTTAATCCGCCCAATAATCGGTGCACTATCTTCGTCTTCATCTTCAACATCATCTTTGATTAAGGGAAAATGGAATCTGGCTGATTAGTTGGCATTAGGATTGGCCCACTGGAAAAAATAAATAAGAGGATAGATATGTTGGGGCTTTCTCTGGGCGGAGAATGAGCAGCTTCACACTCACTTTTAATCCCCAAAACCTTTGGGCCCTACTCGAAGCTTCAAAGAACTTCTTGCGAAAAACTCTTTCCCTTTCCTCTTCCCATCTTCATCAGCTTTCAAAATTATCTACCATTCTTTTCAGTTCTGCAACATTCCACGTAATCATCATTTATATATCATTTTTTATTCATAATTATATAATTTAATATATTCCATGAAAAATAATCAATTTTTAAAATGAATCTAAATTAATAACAACTAATAATGTTGGAAAGAGATGAGTGGGTAATTATAATATATATTTTCACGACGGAATTGGAATGAAACAATATAAAAAATGATTACGGATTTTGACATGTTTTGTCACTTTGTCGGCCTGACCTAGTCTAAATTCCCAGTCACAAATACTACAGTAAGTACCTTCTTGAGATCTTTTTTATTTTGAAAAATATCTTACTTCATCCGATTAAGTTTATAGCACATTCATTAATATTTTAGTTACAAATGTCTTTCAATTTAGTGTATATATAAAAACACGTTAAAAATATTATAAATATAAAAATTGCATTAATAATGTTAATATAATTATAGATCATTACGGTTCAAACAAGAATCTGTACACACACCTAAAGTTGGAATAAATCTTATGCACGGAACCAGAATAGTGCACGCATCAATAATATTATAACTTACACTTTTCTTACATGTAAAAGTATATTTGTAATTAATTAAATATATCATAAAAATAATTTATATTATATTCTTACTAATAAGATAATTTGTAATTAGGTGAATTTAATAAGGGAAAAATTAGAATAGGCAGGAAAAATGAACAATAAGAATTAATAAAAACAGAAGCTCATTGTAAATATTTATTAAGAGTTTTATTTCTTAAATTTATGATTATCAATATATATTAAATATTTTTTACACTAAATAATAAAAATATTATTTTAAATAACTTATATTTTAAATTTATTTATTTTTATTAAATATTTATAATTTTAAACATACTATTTGTAATTACAAAACTATATTAAATTATTATTTAAAATAATTTTATTATATATAATTATTTATAAAATATAAAATTTTATTTTTTGATTATTAAATTATTTATATATTTTTTATAAAATAAAATACCAATTAATTAATAAGTCATACTATTTGTATAAGTTTATTACAAAAGTGTTAGCTTGTATTGTTTGAAGTAAAATACAGGTAATAGGATAAGACAGAGTATTAGAAAAGAGAAATAAAAAGTAAGAGTAGTGAAGTAATAAATTATAACATTAAATAAGGTTAGTGGGAGAGAGAAATTGAGTGTAAGTCAAATAGTATTATAAAATGTAGCCGTTAAATGTAAGTTAAATGAATGGTTATAATTGAGTGTAAGAGTTGTAAACGTTGAGTTTTAAGGAGTTTGGAAAAGAATATATTTTAGTGAACTTATTATGTGTATGGACTTTTTGTCTTTAAAATTTTGTTTAATTGTGAACTTATTTATATTTTTGTGTACTTATTGTATGTATAAAAATTAAAAAAAAATTGATTGTTACAAAAATAACAACAACAAAAAAACCAGTGGCCTGTTACAACTTAAAAAAAAAAATCTAATACAAAAATTAGACAAAAAAATAAGTGACCAATTAGGCTGTTATAAAAACAGCCTAAATTGGCCTGTTACGAAAACTGAAAACAGCAAAAAAAATAATGGTCTGTTAAAAAAATAAGAAAAAGAAAATAAAAAAAAATATTTAAGTTGTCGCGCTGACTCGTAAAAGTCCATAGTCTGCATAGAATAAGGCTTGGACAGTAAAAAAAGTAAGCTTATTTTTATCTTAGACTAAATAAGTCTGACTCATTTGAGCTTGCTACCCATATTAAGCTGGATGGTCCATTTTGACAGCTTTATTTACATATACGAGAAATTATGCATTGGATGTGTTATTTATGTTAATCTATTAAAGATGCTTTGGTGGTGTCATCTTTTTGCTTTTAGTTGGTGGAGTTTATAAGAGTGTAATTAAAAAATATTAATTATTATAATAATTAAAAATTATATTTAAAGTATTTTTTATTAATTGACGTCATAAATAAACTCTATGAGTTAGCAATTACTAAGTATCTTTTTCTGTTTAGAATTTAGTAAAACTAATGGTAAAAACAAAAAGGTAATTAATTTAGGTTTAAAATGTCAAATAATATTTAAAGTGAGTTTTAAAATAATATTTTATTTATATAAATGATTAAAAAAGTACATTTTAACAAATCAATAATTTGTTATGCATGTGCAGTAATATCATTCGTTAGTTTTTACATTGCTGATAGAAACTTTTACATTTTTAAATAATAAAAAAAAAAACTTTAAAAGTTTCAAATCACTAAATATAATAGTCATGAAGGGAGCCTTTGAGATTTGAAACGTTCCAAGTTCAAACATAACCCAAAAGTAACACATGTACCTTGAGGCCTAAAGGTGCTGCGAAGATTATTGTAACTCATATCCAACTGCTCCAAGTTTTGTAAAAGTGATAATTCTAAATGTTCAAGATTAAAAATATCAGAATATATATAGAAATTCAAAAGTGTGAAATATACATAAATAAATTTTTTTTTGCTATCAATGTATTTAAATTATGCTTAAAGTAGATTTCAGACTTTTGTGTGTAGTTTTGAAATAAACTTGCATTTACTATAATTGTTAGTAATAAATATTATTTATTTATAATTATGTAGAATAAAAAATTGTACACATGAAGTAATATTTACAATTAAATATAACCATTCATTTTATTTCTTTTTACATTTTTGGCACGTTTTTTTATTTTATATATGTTTGTGTCACAAGAATCAACATGTATTATATGTACGTCACAACTATATTAATAATGAGTTTAATTTTAATGCGCTGTATTTTTTTTTATACTGCAACTAAATAAAATGCACGGTAGATATGACTGTAAATTATTTTAAAATTTAATAATTTTTTAATTTAATAAGTCATATTTAGATAACAGAGTCAAAATTGTTACACTCTCAATACACCAATTAAATTTCTTAATAATTATATTAGTTTGAACAATATACCTAACGGTTTCTCCTCGTCTTTGCCCAATTCACCCTCTCCTTTCCTTCTTCTAGTGTGGACCAGCCACTCTGGAGGGCTTTCCTCCTCTGGGCCTAATCTTGGACCTCTATCAAAATGGATCCAAAACAACAATCTGCGTGACTACAAACAGTATCCCATGAATGTAGATCGCTAGATTTAGTAATGTACAGAGTGATATTGTGAAACAGGAGATAGTTTTCTCTTTCTTTCTATTTTGTTTCTAGATCAAGGGTGAGCATATTACTATCCAAGCTGGGGAGAGGGGTTGAGAAAGTAAGGGGGAGTTTCACACTTCCATGTTTCAGAAAAGATTAAAAAAAATTGCTTAAAATAGGCACAAGGTCTCCCAAATAACAGACACCATAGAACATATTGAAGGAAAGTGTGTTTGGAGAATTCAAAGCTGCTATTACCAACTCTAGGAGATCTCAAACAAATTCAAGACAGAGATTTTTTCTTCTCTTCCTCAAGTCGCTGCAACTCAGCCAGTCTTTCTGCCCACTCTCTTTCCCTTGCAACTGCAGCCATTTTACGTTCTACCCTCTTAATATTTTTCTTCCTTTTAGCCTCTTGCAGCTGAGCTTTCCTTTTCTTCCTTTCCGCCTGTATGCAAGAGTCCAATTAAACATCTCTTCCAATAAGGGATATTCAGACTGATGCATTAGAGAAACTTATAGTTTACGAACAAAAAAATCAATTGAAACATAGCACTGGTATTTTGTTGAGATTTAAGAAAACTATCGCACCCTTCCTGATAGCTAAAACAATGAACAGCTACTGGTATTTTGATAAGATTTAAGAAAATTATCGCACCCTCCCTAATAGCTAAAAGCCTAAAACAATGAACAGCTACTGACAGATAAATGGTCATAATCATCTCCTTTAGCCACAAAAAATTTTGAAATTGCAAAACAAACAATCTTACTTACTTTGACTGACACCTGATAGTCAATTATTTGTCACAATGCCAATATATATTCCAAAGTTATTGTCAAAACCACAATCACATAATGATCCAATACTATTAAAATAGATATAGGCCATCTACCTTGTTTATCAAATTTGAATTTCATAGCTGTGACTATTATTGCTATAACCATGTCTATGAAATACTTCTGACATCCAATAGCAAACTAACTAGCCATGAAAGTAAGATGGTTGCATTTCAAACTTGCACCATCTACAATAGCTAAATGAGTTGTACTTTTCATATGTAATGTTATGAAGGTTACAGAAACAAACGACAAAAACAATGTCCTCTAAAAAAGTAAAGGAATATAGTAACAAAATGTACTGTCAATGAATAAAAAAGGAGGCAGATGCTTTCAAGGCCAAGAGTTAACACATGCACTTAATTAGAGCTTTTACAATGGATTACTAAATCCTATCTATCATTCATATTAATTTGCTTTCATTGTGGCTGCAAGTTCAGTGACAATAACCGAAAAGCAAACCTGTGGCCAAATTCATGTTAATTAACCTCGTGAGAGCAAACAAAGAGTCAACAAGGTCGGTTCATGCTATAATATTATTAATCTTAAAAAGCAAAGTACAAATGCTAAACCAGTGAATGATAATACAACATGCAACTTTCACTGGAAACTACTCTAAACGAAAAGATAACACCATTGTTCAAACCTCATTCACCTTATTATACTACTAGAAAGATTGTATATTCCCCTCATAGACAATATTCATAAAGTTCTAAAAGACTTATAAATTACGTTGTTACAAATCCCATCCAACATTTAATCGCATAATTAAGAGTACATGTCATTTTTTTGCCAATTAAAGGGTGTCCTCTTCAACATTAAATAAGATGACACTCAAAAGGTGAAACTAATTCAGAAATAGAATAACTTCGTTTTGTAACCATCATCCATTTCTCACAGTTAGCAAGTACGAGGAAATTTTCTCCCCAATTTCTTTTCCAAATCACTTTTCTTAGAAACATGATTATATTAAAAAGGGTTGTCAATTCCATTTTCTTTAAACACAATACTATAAAGGGAGAGCACACCAATATAAAGGCACGCCGCTGCCTCATACGTTTCTTTTCATTCCTCCTCTTGACACTCCCTTCATTGGGCTTATTTGGAAGTATGGGTTGGCCAGGTGTATATTGAACCCAAGCATAAGGCCCTGAACCACAAAAACAGGTTTCAAAGTTTGAGATCAATTTCAAAAGTGAAAGCACGAAAAGTGAAAAAAGGACCTACCAGGGGGTCTCAAACTGGCCCTCTTTCGACGGGGTTTATCAGAGGGTCGTCTCTTGGGGAAGCGAGTGTCTGTCAAGCTGTGGAAGTGATTCCTAAGAGGAAGAAGCCACTGGGGAGGCTTGCAGGGAGATGGGAAAGCAGTACGAAATGGTTCCTTTGAAGCATTGGTAGATATTCGTGATGTTAAGGTTCTTGATGTTGAGACAGAGAGAGGACGAATAATGTTCCTTAGGGCTCCTGCAAATCCCATTCCTCTCTGCATTTAATACACATAATTATTTCATGTGTACAGCAAATGCACCAATATACTTTTCCTCTCAAGGAATTCTTAGATAAACATTTCTAATGTAATCTATCCATTGGAAGCACTAGACAGAGCTTCCGAGCAATCAAAATATGTAGGTTACAATCATTATTTGAAAAAACACAGTCTTCACCAGCTATACTCAGACTTTGGTATGAAATTTTACAGGATAACAGACAAAATATATATGCACAACAAGGTAAAATTTCAGCACTAAACATGCTGATTTGATATAATGATGTACCTCAACCTTTTAAGACCAATTTATAATTACTATATAAGTTTTCATCATGATGAATCAAACTATAAAGACTTTTTAAGTCCAAATTAGAAAAATGGATAATGGCACAAAGGGATATTTAAGGCAATTGACTGTTTGTTTGATGGAAAATAATGTGATTAGGAAAGTTCATGTAAATGCTGGAGTAAATTCAAATGACACAGTAAAATATTCTCTCAAAAAGAAAATGTTCTCACAATATTACCTATAATATGTGCAAAGCTTATATTATGAAACCCAATTCAGAAATGATATTAGCCCAAACCTCAAGAGTGTAAACACACATCACATATTTTGCAACCCAGAAGAAAAGCCAATCCATAAACAGGAGGCATGTAAGTGTTTGTAACATAACTTTCATAAAAAAAAATGTCGTCAAAGACCCCTTTTAATCTGAATGTTATTCACTGGATGCTTAATATATAAGCACAATCTTCCATATTCATTAGCACAATTAGAAACATCTTAAACTACCACAACATGCCATGAAAACAAAAGATTAAGTGAGCAAAGCAAAATATCATCAATAGCCACTAGCCAGCATTTCCAAGAAAAAATCTATACACCACATTGTGGAAATCTTAGCAACAAAAAGAAAGAGATTAAGTTCCACAAACAAAACTGAGCACCAACAGTATGGAGTGCATCAGTGAGTGACTCATAAACAATTAAGTGAACTCTGACTGGAGATGATGTTTTCCTATATTCAAGCTAAATAGAAAGGCAGCTGTCAGAGTCAGAGATACTATAGATCAATTTAAAATTCAGCACAATTGAGTGTGTCCATGAAATAGCAGTCTAGAACATCATAAAAAATGTACCATATGACTCTGCAACAATTACACTCCACGGATATCATCAAACAATACTAAATAAGAGAAACATTTCCTCTTTCAAAATTATGTACATGTATCACATTTGTCATAGTGTTAGAAAGAGGCTTGTTATAAGTCCAAGAATATGTCAAATGTCTAAAACCTTTTTGGGTTCAGGCCAGAAGTTCCAGTACAGATCTTCAGATAAAACCAGAAATATGAATACCCTAGCACAAATATCCAGGAAATCCTTGACATGCAGGGTCAATTTTGTTTCCATTATTGAGTTTTACAAACCATCACTTAGGTGGAAGCAGGTTCAACACCAAAACACTTAAGAGAGCATGACCCAAAAGGAAAACAGAAATTAAAACAACATTAGGCTTTAGTGTGAAGTGTGAACATGTTTGGTTGAGAATGAATAACTACTAAATTCCCTATTGTCAATACTTGATAATTACATTTGAGATATTAGGGAAATAGGTCCAAAAGTCAGTTTTCATTAGGCGTATTACCATACAAAATATAAAACCAAGAAAACAAAATTCAAATCTGACCTGTAATGAATCAAATCACATGAGTAGAAGATAATCACAAATTGCCAGAACAAGAACCACTCAACCACATTCTGGTGGTTGAGCCCACTTATGAGTGATAAAAAAAACAAAATCCCTTTCAAAGTAGTGTCCGTAGAACACATAGGTCCCAGTGAAGAAAAAATGTTGAGGATGCACAATAGCCTAAAGAATCATATCCATAAAATAGTATATTTACTAACTCAGTATCTAAACAAGTTTCAACAAAATTCATGGTATCAGAACTAGATTTTAGTAATTGAAAGTCAATTCGGCAATTTAAAACAAGTTACAGTCCAGTGTGAGTGAGCAAGCCTTGGCATAGAGGTAAGAAAACAAGCAATGACTAAAACAGGTTGCAGCTATATGCCAATGGTGAATATTGTTGAATGGTTACTAGAAATAGCAACTGGTAGCAAGTAATAGTTAGTTAATCTTTCATCCCTTTTATAGTATAGTTTCTTCTTAAGAAAGAAAAAAAAGAAGCTTAGAGACCATGCACATGTCTGTAGATTTAAGAAGGACTTCAAGACACAAATTTGAGAACCTAGACAGAGTGGCATTGATGACAAAATTAACCAGAATGAATCTGCCATATATGGAGGGAGAAGGTGTCAATTTGCTCATGATAATCTCTCACATTAATCCCATTTTCATTGGGGAAGATATTGAAAGAGCCAAGCTATCTCTTAGAATCCACATTGACTCAAAAGAAATATATGCAATATGTATAGTGAAGGACACTTCATAGAAAAGTAGGCATGTTTTCCATATTGCATGTTCAAAGACAGTGACTGCATTTGCAACATAGGAGAGTACAGAGAATGTTGGTACTGCAATCTAAATAGTAAATAGGTAAGGAAAGAAATTTTATTTGAATCAAATAAACCCACATGCATTCAGATTTCATGATAACTGGGTTGTACATACAAATTGAAAGGGAAAAAAAAGAATGGACTATGTTAAATTGACTAATGACCAGAGCAACAACTAACAACAGTGGGCATATGTTACAGTGCCATACAACCAGCAAATATCCATAAAACTGTATATATATATATATATATATATATATAAACTCATAGCAAGAAACAGTGAATACGTCTCTGAAAAACATGGTAACACATTTAATCGAACAGTTTATGAGCAAACGCTTGAGCATCGGGGAAAAACCTGACGAAAGAGGTAGTCAGAGCACCAGCCACTGAATGGAATTAACAACAGTGCATTACGCATTTCAATAATTAATTTAATCGTTCACCTCATAGTAAAAATAAACACTCAAAATTCAAATTGTTAATCGTTCTAGCTCCTAAAATTTATTTTGTCAATTTGGGATTGTAAATTGAAGAAACTACGCTAAGAAATGGACGAATGAAGAAGATTTAGAAGGTTAAAGCATCATAAACGAATGTCTTGCAAGAAAAATGTTACCTGCAACGCGACGTTAGATGTGAAGGCAAAGCAAATCAAAACACAGTGAGAAAAAGGAACGAAAAGGGAAATGGTAAAATTATATGTAATAAGTTAATAACGGGTCGCGTTCAGTTCGGGAAACTTATGCCCCACCCGACCCGGTTAATTTTTTTAATAAAGGATATTATATATTTAAAAATTAACTCTTAATTTTATTATTTATTAATATAATTGATTAAAGTGTGAGAAAGCATAAAAGAAATTTTCTTTTTTTAACAAATGTTTCCTCATGAATTTGCATTCAATCTACCCAATTTTCCATGAAGAGTGCCAACATAACTCAAACTCACAAAATATAAATCATAATGTATTAAAATGGTATGTGCTTGTGGGTATGATGGTTAAGAGTTGACCTGCAGTAATATCCCCAATTTCAACTCATTTTTAGTTTATTTGTCCATTAATTTTTTTTGTATGCCATAGTGTGTGAGTGAGAACTAGCCTTACTTTACTTTTTAAATAAATTAGAAGAAAATACAGCCTAGCTTGGTCAACTAAGCATGTAACTATACCAAAACCTAATTTTCATCAACTAAACCCTAATTTCAAGTCTTGAAATCCTAACTAAGATAAACAACTTTCCAAAATTAAATTTTAGATGATTTAGACATATTTTACATGTTAAATTTTTTTTAAAAATATAAAATATATATTTCAATTCAGGCTAATATGACTAATTTAACTATCAAATTAAATTTGATTAGTTAGTACAATTTTAAGATTAAAAATTCCACCAATTTGTAACACCATAAGACATTAAATTATTATACTATAATTAAAATTCTAATAAACTTGAAACTCTATTTTAATTGGTAAAAACATATTAAAAGTTAATTTTACTAAAATTGATTGATTTGTTAAAATTTTAAATCTTAAGGTTAAAATTTTATTGGTTATGACTATATGAATTAATTAAATTGTATCTTAATGAAATTTTTATGCACTGAATATAAATTTGACTTATTTTTAATTCTTTAAAATGACGCTATATTAATACTTCCTCTTTTTTGTTTTTCATTCATAATTTTTTTTCTTTTTTTCTTTTTGGTTGAAATTCATGATTTAAAGCATATATCAAGCCAAAATCGTGGCTAGTTTACCTCTTGAAGATTCAATTCTCGGTCTTTTTTTATGATCTTTTCAAGAAACACATTACACATCCCAGGAGAAGGCTATAAATCAGTGAATGAGTTTTTATAAATGTCTTGTAAATTAAAAATGAAAGATGCTTCTAATTTTTAAAAATCAATAGTTTCATTTTTTATTTATTTTAAAAAATATTTTATTTTACACTATTAAAACTCTAGTATTTTAACTGTTTTATTTTCTTATTTTCATAATAGCTTTTCTTTTTATTATTAATAATCAATAGTATATTTTATTAAATAAAAATAAATTAAGTAGATAAATAATACTTTTAAAATTAAAAAATTAATTATTTAAATTAATTTATATAATATTTATTGAAATTAATGTTCAATTTAAAATAAATTTAATTTATTATTTAAATCAATAATATATTTTTTATTAATAAGATCAGTTAAAATAAATTAAGATCTAACTTTAATATTATATATATATATATATATTTAAATCATTTAACTTAAATTAATAATTAATTTATAAATAATTTAATTTCATAAGCTACAAACTCATTTTACTAAATATAACCTACAAATAAACTCTCTTCATTAAAATTAATTGTTAAACTAGGTAAAAAAAACTACAACAAATTATTTTAAACTAAGATAAACTATACTTAATTTTATGCATGAGTATAGAAACTCAAATAATAATTTTATTTATTTAAGAAATAAAGTGTTTTTTATCCAAACTTTTAAATTGGTATAATAAATTTTTTTCATATATTACTTCATTTCATTCTTTTAATAAAAAATAATTAATTAATTTATCGAGATGAATAAATTATATATTATATTTTAAAAATATTCATAATATTAAATATTAAATTAATTATATATATATATATATTAATTTATACAAAAAGTGACTGAATAAGTTATTAATATAAATTTCTATAAAAAAAAGATATAAAATTTCATTAAAAATTAGAATATTTAAGAGAACTAGTGCGTTAAATTATGTATGAAAATACTATAATATTAACAAATACATAATTTAATGTAGTAATACTTGTAAATATTATAATTTAAAAAAATATAATTAATAATTTTGATTTATTTCAATTAAGAAAAAAGTTATAAAATTATCGCATGTTATAGAAAAGAAGAAAGGTACGTTTAAAGTGGGAGAATCGGGCAAGGCTGTAACCGAGTTGAAGTGTGATACTGCATTCACTGCTAAACTCATCTGTCATCCAATCAGTGGAAGGTTTGGTTTGGTTTGGTTTGAACTTTGAAGGACACAAATACGTTATGTTACTTACATTACATACATCCAAGTTTCTCTCCTTAGTTAGTTCAGATCGACCGTGCAAATTGCGAAGCAAAATCGTCACCACTGTTTTTTGTGACTCTTTCTCCACTCCAAATTTCACCATTGATTCTTCGAAAACCACACCAACTAAAGCAGAAGAAAGTCTTTTGCTTTTCGACGATGAAGAAGAGCAACAACAAATCCTGCGTCCCCTTCCTTCTTCTCTGCTCTTTTTATTCAGTGCTCAACTCATCGGAGCTGCAGATTACGACTCTGCTGACAAGATATTCCTCAACTGCGGCGCCCCACCGGACAACTCCGATGCCGACGCCCGAAAATGGACCACCGACATCGCCTCCAAGTTCGCCGGCGCCGTCCACCACCTCGCCGGCGGCCACGTAAGACCCCGCCGTCGCCCAAGTCCCCTACATAAACGCCCGCGTCTTCCGTTCCAACTTCACCTACACTTTCCGGTATCCCCTGGCCGGAAATTCCTCCGCCTCCACTTCTACTCCCCCTCCTACGCCATCCTCAACCCCTCCGACGTGTTAGGACCAGAGTAACGGTATAATAATACACAACTAAAATAAGAGATGAGAAAATAAGAGCCAATAAATGCAATATAAAATTATCACAGAAGAAAAATTACACTAATCCTCACTCTATAATTTACTCCTCAAAATATGAGACTATTACTACCGAGTACAAGATCTCAGTGTAATACAAAGATATGAGAAAAAGATGATTTTTGGAATGGATTGATTAGTAAGCCCCCTTGCCCTTTTATAAGCAAAGGAGGGGTCATGCCTTTGAAGTTCCCACCGATGTGGGACTTCTTACTTAACAATTCTCCCACTTGAAGATTATGATTAAGCTAATCATATCTTCACACACATTACTAATATATATATTACAATTACATGTTGCTTATATTCCTAATAGGCCATACAAGGATCGACACCATGTAAACTTGTCATTGTTCACTAGCTTTGTCATTATGTCTGCTATGTTGTCTTTGGTGTGAATCTTTTGCATATCCACTCTACCTTCCTCTACTACTTCACGAACAAAGTGGTATTGTATACCTATGTGCTTTGTTCTGGAATGAAAAGCTGGATTCTTTGCAATATGCAAAGCACTTTGACTATCACAATACACAGTAGTAGTTTGCTGTTTGTGCCCAAGTTCCTCCAATAGCCTTTGAATCCAGATTGCTTCCTTGCATGCCTCAGTAGCTGCCATGTATTCGGCTTCTGTAGTAGACAGAGCCACAACAGTCTGTAACTTAGATAACCAGCTTACTGCTCCTCCAGCAAGTGTAAACACATAACCAGTAGTAGATTTCCTTTTATCCAGATCTCCTGCAAAATCTGAATCAACATAGCTCTTCACAATAAATTCTGATCCTTCAAAACATAATGCAACATCAGAGGTTCCTTTGATGTATCTAAGGATCCTCTTTACAATATTCCAATGCTCTCTACCAGGATCTGCCATGTACCTACTGACTGCTCCCACTGCTTGTGCAATGTCTGTTCTAGTACAAATCATAGCATACATAAGGCTTCCCACCGCTGATGCATACGGCACTCGAGACATTTCCATCCTCTCCGCTTCATTGCTAGGACACATACTTGAGGATAATTTATAACTGACAGGAAGTGGGGTAGAGATTGGCTTACAGTCTTGCATATTGAAGCGCCGCAAGACTTTACGAAGATAATTCTTTTGAGAGAGCCAAATCTTCCTATCTTTTCTATCTCGGTGTATTTGCATCCCTAAAATCTTGTTTGCTGGTCCTAAGTCCTTCATATCAAACTCCCTAGCTAATTGTGCCTTCAATTCTTGAATTCGATCTTTGCTGGGGCCTACCACCAGCATGTCATCCACATACAACAACAAAATGATGAAATCATTATCACCAAACCTCTTGTAATACGTACAATGGTCTGAACTCAGTCTGTTGTATCTGAGGCTATTAATGAAGGAATCAAATCTCTTGTACCAACACCTTGGCGCCTGTTTTAAATCGTACAGAGATTTGGTCAACCTGCAAACCAAGTCTTCCTTTCCTTGTTCTTCAAAACCTTCTGGTTGGAGCATATATATTTCCTCTTCAAGTTCTCCATGTAGAAAAGCAGTCTTTACATCAAGTTGCTCAAGATGTAAATCATGTGCAGCACACATTGCCAGAACAATTCTGATTGTGGTTAATCGGACAACTGGCGAGAATATCTCATTGAAATCAATGCCTTCTTTCTGAGCATATCTTTTAACCACCAATCTGGCACGATACTGCTCCACTTGATCATTGCCATCTCGTTTGATTTTGTAAACCCATTTACAACCAATAGCTTTTCGACCTTTTGGAAGCTCAACAAGTTCCCATGTATTGTTTCTATGTAAGGCCTCAATTTCTTCCTGCATTGCTGTCATCCATAAAGAAGCATCTGAACTCCTCAAAGCCTCATGAAAGGTTGATGGTTCTCCTTCTTCTGTTAGAAGGCAATATGCAACATGACTTGCCATAACATAGTCTGAGTGCCAAGATGGTCTTCTTATCTCACGTCTTGTTTGTTGAGTTTCTCCATCATTGGCATCATTTGATTCTTGTTCTCCTT